GCACAGAGATCGTTCTCAGGTTTTCATGTAACCTGGTCCCCGCAGATGGATCTGCTGCCCCGAGGTGGCTGCAGGGACAGTGCAGGCACTGAGGTGTGAGGGATGAGAAGGCTCTAGGCTGGGATGAGCCAGGGAAGGGACGGTGAGGGGCGTCCCATCACTGGGGATGAGGGTGAGGGTGTGGCGGGAGTGGCCATCCAGGAGTCTGAGGCATCCTGGGCTCATGGGCTCTGCCCTCGGTTCCTCAGGAGGCTCCACGCTATTTGTTGAGACGTCCCTGAGGCGGCCACGTGACAGCAAGGGGGACAAGGACGGGAGCCTGGAGGTTACAGGCCAGCTGGGGGAGGTGATGAAGGAGAGCGCCCGCATCGCCTACACCTTCGCCAGGGCCTTCCTGATGCAGTACGACCCCACCAACGAGTACCTGGTGACCTCGCACATCCACCTGCATGTGCCTGAGGTGAGGCTGGACCCGCGCCCATGCCCCACACCCGCCACCTGGCAGCCGCCTGCCCACCAGCCTGTCTCCCCCCCAGGGCGCCACCCCCAAGGATGGCCCGAGCGCTGGCTGCACCATTGTCACGGCCCTGCTGTCCCTGGCTCTGGACCGGCCGGTACGGCAGAACCTGGCCATGACGGGTGAGGTTTCCCTCACGGGTAAGGTCCTGCCTGTGGGAGGCATCAAGGAGAAGACCATTGCGGTGAGTGTCCCGTGTGATAGTGCACAGCCATCATTCACGTGTCAGGGCTAACACCCCCAGGTGAGAAGAGTGACAGGCCCATTTTACAGAAGGGGAAAGTGAGGCCCAGTGGGCATGGGATCTGGATCTGCCTGGCCTGGATCCCCTGCTGAACTGACTGCCTAGCTGCCCCTCCCTCCACGGTGGTTCTCAGCCTTTTCAGCCCTCATCTCAGCTCCTCAGGGATGAGTAGGGTCTCCTGCTTCCTCGCCCCCCGCCCCCCCCCCCCGTGGCCTAGCACTGAGACCTGTGGGTGCAGGAGAGGCTGGAGGAGCAAGGCTTAGGCACTGCAGGTGGACAGAGGGCCCAGAGCCCAGCGTCTCACTGGGTGTGCTGTAGGTTTGACTGTGGTGGATTGGGGGGGTGGGGTGGGCTGTGCTTCCCAGTGTTGGGAGCCCCCCCGAGCTCCTGGCAGCACCCCAGTCTCTCTCACCTGAGCCCCCAGGCCTCTCCCTGTCTACCTCAAACGGACCGCAGCCCCAGCTGCCCACAGGGAGGGGCTCCCGTGATAGGGACACCCAGGCAAGGTGTGTGGGAGGCTCTCTGCACCTTGCTTTCCTGTCTCGCAAAGTGAGAGGTTCAGTGAGTCACTGCATGCTATCCCTAGAGCAACACATGGTGACACATGGGGACCCTTGTCCACCAAGGGGCAGAGTCAGGCTGAGGGACAGCAGCTCAGAGGCCCCAGGTGCGACAGGGCGCGTGGCAGTCTTAGGTGCCAGACCTCTAAATGTAAAGCAGTGGGTGGTGATTAACCCCAGAAACCATGGACCTCATAATTCCTGTATTTCCAGACACCTTTGGGGGTGGGGAGAGCCTCTGGGGTGACACCACACCAGAAGAGGCCTGGGTTCCTGCTGCCAAGCTACTGGAACAGAGGCTGGTGACGTTACCCTGGGCCTCAGTTTCCTCAGCAGGGTGGCCACTGGAAACCTGGCTCCATGCCCAGCCCTCTCCTACCTCCCACACTGACCTGACTGCCCCCCCCATCCCAGGCCAAGCGTGCTGGAGTGACGTGCATCATCCTGCCAACCGAGAACAAGAAGGATTTCTACGACCTGGCAGCCTTCATCACCGAGGGCCTGGAGGTGCACTTCGTGGAGCACTACCGTGAGATCTTCAACATCGCCTTCCCCGAGGAGCAGGCCGAGGCCCTGGCTGTGGAGCGGTGACGCCGGCTCTGGGCACTGCAGGCACCGCTGGGCCCGCCGGGGCTGGAACTGCGCTCAGGGGAGAGGCTCCAGGCAGCTGAGCCACAGGAAGCTCAGGAGAGGCCTGGAGCCCGCCCTCAATCATGGCTTAATCACTGACTATTTAATTATGATTAAAAGCCGTTTCCAGTACTGCTTGGTTGGCTGTGGCTTCTTTCTGTGCTCACCACCCTGCCTGTCACCAAGGTGCCCAGGGACACGTGTGCCCCAGCAGATGGCACCCCCCCTTCCCACTGGCAGCACAGAAACCCCAAGTTTCTGGAAAAGTTTTATTGTGCACAGAGGGGAAGGGCTCAGTCCTTCTTGGCTGCCGCCTTCCTCATGGCGGCCAGGACATTGCTCAGCTCCTCTCTCTTCCTCTTGGCACGGATGTGTGTCCCCACCTGCCGGGCAAGGAGGGCCGTGAGCCTAAGCCCCAAGTCCCACCCCGGCCCTAACAGGGGTCCTACCTACCCTTTTCTTGATGAACTTGAGGGCCCGCTTGTCCTTGGAGACCTTGAGCAGCTCCATGGCCCGCCGCTCATAAGGGGCAAAGCCGCACACCTCCCGGATCATGTCCCGCACGAACTTGGTGTGCTTGGTGAGGCGCTGCGGGAGAGGGGAGGCGTCAGGGCGGGGCTCGGAGGGGGTCTCCGGGTGGAGTGTTGTATGTCTGCTAACAAGGGAAGCCCAAATCCTCCCCAGTCCCCAATCTTATCAACATTAAAGCGGCACGTCACACCCGGCCTTTGCACAGGGTGTTCCCCGGGCCCAGAACCCTCTCGCCCTGGACACAAGCTGGGCACCGTGGAGTCGGGGCCGCTTAATGAAGAAATATATAAACCCCCATGAGCCTACGACTCCTCAACCTGACACACAAGGAATCCGCTTTCCCTCCACATTCCAACCCCGATCCAGAAACCCTTCTACTCGGCAAACTCCTGCTCATGCGTCAAAATTCGCTCCCACTTCGCTCCTGCCCCAGCTTCCGAATCCACGGGCCAGGTGGGTCCCATTACTTAGCCCCGGCGGGCGTTCGCCGCGCAGGCGCGTAACCGGCATCTTCACTCTGCTCTGCGCAAGCCTGACACCCCCTTTCTTCCGTTTAAGACACCAGGGCTGGACTTCCCTGGTGGCGCAGTGGTTGAGAGTCCGCCTGCCTATGCAGGGGACACGGGTTCGTGCCCCGGGCCGGGAAGATCCCACATGCCGCAGAGCGGCTGGGCCCGTGAGCCATGGCCGCTGAGCCTGCGCGTCCGGAGCCTGTGCTCCGCAACGTGAGAGGCCACGGCAGTGAGAGGCCCGCGTACCGCAAACAAACAAGACACCAGGGCTACCCACTGCCCTCGGGACTCGACTCCCGACGGCGCTCCCGGCACTCACCCCACGGCGGCGGCTGTGCCTCGGCTTGCTCACGTTCTTGGTCACCTTGTGGCCCTTGTTGAGGCCCACGGCCATGGGGTAGCGCAGAGCCATGGCTGCGGACAGAGGTGGGGAGAGAGGGGTGGAGGTGAGTCCCAGCTCGGTCCCCGCCGCCCGGAACCCCGCGCCTCGGCTCCCCCGGGCTTGCTCGCTGCACCCAACCATACCCCCGAGCTGCACTGGAGCCCCAAGGGTCCGGATGGCAGCTGATGGTACTCGCGCTGGGCTTCACTAACCTGCTGCTCCTTAATGGCTGCCGCGGCGGAAGGGCCTCAAACGCGCCGAACTCTGGGATTTCTACCGACCCGCGGGCGGCGCGGGCCAGAGAGGCAGGAATGTCGCGGGCTCCCCCTGGCGGCTGGAGGCGTCCCTGTGGGCCCCCTGAGCATGCGCGCTTATCCTCACGGGCCCAAACCAGTAGTCGGACCGGGTGGGCGTGGCTGTGGCTGCGGTGTCTCCCTCTGCGCGTGGGTTGAGAGGTGAAATCCAACCTGTGCCGCCAGCTGGCTGTCCCAGCGCCAGAGACTTCAGCTCCCACTACTCGAATTTCTCCATTTATAGAATGATGACAACAATAGTACCTATTCCAAACTGTTTGAGCAAGATATGATAACTGGCACAAACTAAAATTTCCACAATCGGAGAAATTGGTTTTACTATATATGAAGCCAAGCTCTGGGGTAGAGCTAAGGAAAGCGTTGTGATATAGTGCCCCCTGGTGGCACTTGATATAACTTGATGTAATTTTAGGTGCAGGGATAGGCGGCGTGGTGGGAACAAAAAAATATTCTTTTTTTCTGGTTTTTATCTTTCAATCCTATTTATTTCCAAGAGACAGTATGAATTTGAGGCTGGTCTGTTTGGGGTTAGCCCTTGGATCACCTGCTAATCTTGGAGGCTTGGACAGCCAACAGGAACTAGTTTTTTTTTTTTAAAAAAACCATCTTTATTGGAGTATAGTTGCTTTACATTTTTGTGTTAGTTTCTGCTGTATAACAAAGTGAATCAGCTATACTTATATCCCCATAGCCCTCCCCCCTTCCGTCTCCCTCCCACCCTCCCTATCCCACCCGTAGCTAGCTGTTTATAACATTGTTTCATTCTTCAAAACATTGTTTTGTTTTAATAACATTGCTTTCATTTAGTTTTTATCTTTACAGTTGCTTTTTCTTTATGCGAGCACTGCTGGTTTACCATTTTAAGGAAAGTGTCAATTTTTAATTCATTAATCTAAATACCAGTGATGTGCAGGTGCAGCCCACACGTTGCCTTAAAGAGGGACAGTCTGGTGTCAGAATCCCAGCTTCTGTCTCTGACTTCCCGTCTAAGTTTCCCCATCCATAAAATGGTAACAATGGTAGCACTAACCTCTGGTTGTGAAGATGTCATGAATGTCAAGTGCGTAGCTCCTGATGCAGGCTATCATTATTGGTGCACAAACCACGTTCTTCGTGCTGCAAATATAGCCTTTGGCCCACAATCGGTTACACTTCCTTCCATCCCTGACTTCCTGGATGACGTCCATCTGTCTCTCAGCCTCCGTTTCTCCACCTGTGAAATGAAGGTGAGAGTTCTGGCACCAATACACACATCCCTCTTCACCTCCTGCCGCCAGCAAACTGGAAGGACCAAGGAGTCTGAACAGATGTGGAAGGGAAGAAAGCTTTTTATTATCAAATGGGAGGCTGGATCCAGCCCAGAACACATTCTTTTCCTCTTCCCCCTCCTCAGACCCCACCATCAACTCGACAGCTTCGAGGGCTCCCCTGCTCGGGAAAATGGTTGGGGGATGCTCCCAGGCTGAGAGTGGAAAGAACAAATCAGGGACGCAGTGGTTTCAGGTCGCAAATAGAGAGGGTTCCAAGGGTGGCTCAGTAGTGTTGTGACCTGCTGGATGTGGCCAGGGCCCTGAGGCAAGTCACATAGCCTCTCTGAGCCTCAGTTTGCTCATCTGCAAAATGGAAGCAGCAATCATATCATCAATGACAGCTGAGAAGACTGAGGTAATTAATTGCCTTCCAAGTCCCTGACAAGATGCCGGGCACGCCCCGAGTTCTGACTGCTTTCAGGTGCTGGTAGTTTTTCTCAGGTTTACTTTTCTGTCTTGATGACTTTCTTTTGGCCCTTGGCCACCTGCTCAGAGGTGTCTGTCCGGGCTCCAGGACGATTGGCTGGAGGGTCTTCTTCTGGGAAGACGAAGGGGCATTAAGCCCAGGGGCTCAGGCAGCAGCGGGGGTCGTGATGTTGAGCTCCTGGCGGATGAACCAGGCCCTTGGCTGTGGCATCCAGCCGCGAAGCAGGCAGAGCAGATGGAAGCGCCACGGGTAGAAGACGCCGGAGGCACGCGTGGCGCTGCCACGAATCACAGCCAGGGCTGCCTTGGGCCCTGGGGCCGCCTTGGCCCTTGTGACGCCCCTGGGGACAGGAGGGTGCGGTGGGGACTGTGGCTACGGCTGAGCGGCCCCCCACACCCCCTCCCCGCTCAGCCTGGCCCCGGCTCGCGTCCTGGGCCTCACCTGACTCCCTCGGCGGCCGAGGCGCGATCCTGGAGGCCCAGGACGCACATGGTGATGGCGACGTTCACGTCCTGCACATCCAGCTCCCGCCGGAGAGAGCCAAAGAAGCTATCCAGCGCGAACTTGGCCGCCGAGTAGGGGCTGGAGAAGGACGTGGCCACGCGGCCTGGGGGCGCGGGAGGGCAGTGGCTGAGCGGCCACACGCCGCTGCTCCTCCTCCGGGAAGCCTTCCTGCCCGCTCCAGGCTCGCCCCCATCGGCCCCATGGCTTCCCCACTCCCCGCCCCGCGTACACGCACCTAGCAACGAGGACACCACCACCAGGGAGCCCTTGCTGTCAGTCAGACTCGGCAGCGCCAACGAAGTCAGTTGCACGTAACTCAGGAAATTCACCTGTAAGTGGCGACTGCGAGTCACCGGGCGGAGGAGGAACCGAAGGCCAGAAGGGGCAGGGGCGGAGCCTAGAGCCTGGGGGCGGGGCCTTGGTATGTAGGGGCGGGGCTCGAGGACCGGGGCAGAGTTCCGAATGGACGAGGGGGAACACCAGCCTGGGGCGGAGCCAAGGTCAAGAGGGCGGAGCCTAGAACCAGGAAAGTTGGGGTCTGGAGCTGGGAAGGGCAGGGTCCGAGAGGGGAATGGTGAGAGGGTGGAGTCTGGCGGGAGGGCGGAACCGGGGCCGCGGAGGGGCGGAGAACCTGCATAAGCCATCGTGTCGCCTGGGCGCTGCGGCCCCGCGTGCCTGCTGGGGCGGCGCCGAGGTGGTTCATCACCAGGTAGTCCAGCCCTCCTGGCCCGGAGAGGCCCATCAGCCCGGAGCTGTCCTTAAGGCTCCGCCCCCCGCGCCCTACGAGACACCACCCATAGCCCTGCCCCCTGAACTAGCGATGCTCCGGCCAGAGCATTGACACAATGAGCTCTGACCCAGGTAGCGCCCCAACTAAGATCAAAGAGACCCCGCCCTACTCCCTAACCAGGCTTCATCCCTGATCTAATGAGGCCCGGTCCAGAGTTGCACCCACTGGATGTCATAAGGCGCCACCCCTAGCCTTGCCCCCGGACCCATAAATCTCCGCCCTCAGACGGCCGTTACTACCACACCCCCGCCCCAATTTGGGTCGTGCCCCTAAGGCCTAGGCCAAGGTCCCAGACTCCAGGCCCCGCCCCTCACCCAGCTTGTCCAGCGTAAACTGCACCACGCGCTCGGGCACCTCAGGGGAGGCCATGTCCGCAGCGATGTAGAAGACCTTGGGAGCGCCCAGCTTCCGGCAGTTCCCTACCACCTGGGGGGGCCAGAGCTGCCCGTGGGCCCCTCCACCCCAGCTGGCCCCCCTCCACCTGCCGGCCCTAAAGGGGCCCCAGCCTGAAGCCCCCTCCCCTGCTATGAGCCTCAGGTTCCATTCAACATCATGTCTGAAGCGTTACCACTGGGGTAGCAAACTGGCAGCCCATGGGCCAGAATAGGGGACATTTTGCTTGTTCAACCATCAACATTTAAAACGCAGATTTCAAATAAATCTTGAGATTTCTGGCCTCTTGAAATTTTGTAAGGTTCATCCCCAGGAGCTGCACATTTCCTTGAAATAACACTGGGCTGTTGCTAAGAAGGGTCTGCGCAACCCGCTTTTGAACTTGAGAACCCCAGCTGTCCGCACAGCCTTTGGTTGCTGTCAGTACTCCTACTTAGTGAGGAACAGTCCTTGCTTTACAACTGTCTTACTGATGCAACCCCACATCACAACCCAGGAGAAGGTCCTTTTATTGTCTCTGATTTACAAATGAGGAAACTAAGCCTCAGAGAGATTAAGTGACTTACCCAAGGCCACACAGGAAGCCTGAATGTTTGCAGGGATTCAAACCCAGGCCCTGTTCCCCGCCCCCCCCCCCCAATTAAACTTGAGATGGAGTGTCTCACCTTCTGCAGGAGAGCCTCGGTGTGGGCAGTGAGCACCAGGTGGGAGCCCAGGCGCGCGTAGTGATATGCCAGCTCCTCCCCGATGCCCACGCTGGCTCCAGTCAGCAGCACACGGGCTCCCTGGAGGCTGGCTGGCAGCGAGTAGGGGTGGTCAGCTTGGGGGATGGAGAGGACAGCCAGAACGTTCCTCCCACCCCCACTCCCAGGCGCTCACCTGGGTCAAAGTTGTCATCCCAATAATAGGCAAAGAACAGGGCTCCCAGCCCCACGAGCAGCAGCACCTTCATGGCCCTCCCTGAGTCTGCAGCGGGAGAGGGGGGGGGCCGGCACAGGCCTGGCCCACAGTCGCACCCCAGTCACACCCATTTCCCCAACGGCGTCTTTGTTCGAAGAGCCAGCGGTGATGCCCCTGGCCCTGCCCCCTCTTCTCCATCTGCAGAGCCACCACCTGGTCCAGGTCATCATCTAGCTCACCTGAACCACTGCAGCCATCTTCTTCCCCTACTGAAAACCCTGCCCGTTTCACTTAGAACAAAAGCCTTGGTGACCAAAAAGGGTCTGCTTGGACCAGCCCCTCTTGCTCACTCTGCTTTGCCACACCAGCCTCTTCACTGTTCATTGGAACCAGCCACTCACCATCCTGCCTCAGGGCCTTTGCATTGGCTGTTCCCTCTACGAGGTTGTATTTTGTATTCCCAAATACAACCCAACGGCTTGCTCTTTCAAGTCTTGGCTGGAAAAATCACCTCCTCAGAGGGCACTTCCCTGGCCTCCTCCTCTAAAGCACCTCTGTTCCTGGTCACCCCCTCTCTCTTACCTGTAGAATTTTTCTCCTTCTCAGCACTTGTCATCCCCTGAAATCATCTTGATGATTTGTTACCTGTTCAGGATCCCTCTCTCCCCTTAGACTCAGCTCCATGAGGGCAGAAAGGAAATGGAAACCTGCTTCTGTTTTGCTCCCTTTTGGATCTTCCGTGCCCTGAACTGCCAGACATGCAGTAGGTACTCAACAGATAGACTGACCCAGAGTGATATGAGGAATGTGGGAGGTGAGAGGTGGGGGAGCCCAGAAAGATAACTCTGTCTGGAGACACCCAGAAGGAATCGGACACTCAGGACTGGCTTGGAGATGGAGGTGCCCGTGTCATCAGGGTTAAGATGTGACTTCAGCTGGGGAAGCCGATTTACTTGTTCCAGGGAGAAGGTGAAAGATAAAAACAGGCCAGGTGATTAAAGTTAAGGGGGTCAAGGATCTCCCCTGAAAAGGGCACAAGCCCATTACATCTTAGGGTTTCTATCCTCTGAACTGCATGGGGCAAAGAGGAAAGGCCATAGGGATCTTTGTCCAAAAACATCTGAGATGTCCCTTCCTGTTCCAAACCCTCCCAGGGCTCACCACTGCCCCAGATGGAGACCACACCCTCCTCACCTCAGCCCACGAGACCCAGCAGGTCTGGCCTCGGCTCTCTGTCCATCCTCATCTTCCCCACTTCCTATCCATGAATCTATCAGTTCTCAGAAAAGTGAACTCCTCGCCCTAACCCAGTCACGCCAGCGTCCCCTCAGCAGGGAACACTCTCCCACCTCTCCCCACTTCCAGGGAAAGCCCTGAAGCCCCACAGCTCAACATTCTCCTCAAACTGGCCCTGACCATAGTTCCCTCGCAGGGGTTGGCTGGCAGGCTGGGTGGGTGAGTGGGCGGAGAGATGAATGGATGGATGAAACAGCCAGGCTCTGAAGGGGGAGGAAAGGAGGAAACCCGATCCTCGCAGAACCCACCGGCCCCCTGACCTCGCCGGGCCTCAGTTTCCCCTCTGGACAAAGGGGGCGTGCGACTCACTGCACTCTCCCAATCGCGAACTCACCCACTCAGGGCTCAGTTTCTCCCGCTGTCCAGCGGGGCTGGGGTCCGGGCCTGGGAGTCACGCGTGCGCCCCGCTTCCCTCACTTCACCACTGCGTCCGCCAGTCTCCGACCGCGCCCCCTCCCGTAGGGTCTGAGTCACGCGACTCCGAGCCCACCTCCTCGGGGGGAGGGGCTATACTGTGGGGACTCCGCGCCCAGGCGTTGCCGGGCAACAGCCTCCCGCCTAGCTCTCCTCTGGCCTCGACCACTGACCTGATCACGTGACTAAAGGCCCGCCTTTCTCGTACAAATCAGCCCTCATGTTGCCGTGACAACCAGCTTCCAGGCACTCTCTTCCTGTGCCTGGGCCCTTAGTCCCCCGCGCCGGCGCGGGAGACGACATCTTGTGGGTCCCCCTCAGGCCCCACTCTTGTCACCCGATTCCTCTTTCCCTCACGTCACGAGGGCCGTGCCGCCCCCGACTGCATTTCCCAGGAGGCTTGGCGGCTAAACGAGCCGTCCGGCGCCTCACGTGACTTGCCGACTACTTTTCCCAGACAGCTTTGCGGCGGCTGGGCCCTGAGGACTAAGCTTCGCACGGTTGTTTTGCAGTGGGACCGCAACCTCTTTCTGTTGTTTCGGTGCCGAGACTCCGACTCCCGGAGGCCTTTGCGGCTGACAAGAGACTACGCCTCCCAGAGGCCTCTGCGACGCCGCGACCGGAAGTGACGGGCGAGCCGAGTGTCCTTGCGCGCGGAGCGGAGCGGTCATGGTATCCGGAGTGTGGTCGCTGATGAGGTTCGTGGGGCCACCAGGAGGGCCCCAAGCCCCCAAGAATGTTCCCTTCTGCGAGCACCCTCCATCTGGTTTGCTCCCGATCGGCTTTTCGCCGCCCGTAGTGTCAGGTCTCCCGTGTCTGTCCAGACAGGGTGGAGCTTCTCGCCCCCCTCCCGCTTCCTAGCGAGTCCGTGCCTTTCCCACTCTGTACCCGAGATCCCTCCGAGCCTCAGCTGCCCACTCTGTAATATGGGAGTGCCGCACGCCTTTGTTGGGAGGTTAATGCGCACCCAGAGCTGCGTATGACAGGAAATGACCAGGGACACTTAGAAAACCCCCGCGGGTTCCTCGCGGAGCATCCCTCGGGGCTGGAAGGTAGAAGGTGGTCAGGAGTCTTAAGTCTTCACTGTTCCCTGCCCTCTGCGGGATCTTGAGTGACACTGTTTCTCTCCAGGCTTCAGTTTACCAGTTAAATGGAGCTGAGTATCCCTGCACCCCTTAGATTAAGTGCTGTGGGTCAGGCACGCCTCTGGGCTCCCAAAATGCCCTGTGCTTCCCGCATTAGCTGCCTGGCTTCAGGTGTGTCACTCTTTGGACTGTGGGCACGCCCCTCCCCCTAGGGGTCTAACCCTCACCCCCATACCCGCGGGCCTAGACCCGGGAGGTGGCCAGCAGAATCTGCTGAGCTGCTGTGGTTCCTTTCTCTGCCTGCAGGTTCCTCATCAAGGGCAGTGTGGCTGGGGGCGCTGTCTACCTGGTGTACGACCAGGAGCTGCTGGGGCCCAGCGACAAGAGCCAGGCGGTCCTTCAGAAAGCTGAGGAGGTGGTCCCCACCGCCGTGTACCAGTTCAGCCAGTACGTGTGCGAGCAGACAGGCCTGAAGATACCCCAGGTACTCCGAGCTTGGATTGAGGCTACGGCTCTGCGGGAGCAGGGGCGTCAGCTCGGGTGGTCTTTGATCCCCGGTCCCTCCAGCCCTGCTTGGCTTTCTCCACACTGGAGCATGTGCTGCTCTCCCTGCCTGTGAGGGAGGCGCGGGCTGCCAGGCCTTCCCCTTTCACCAGCCCCTTCTTCCCCTCTCTTCCCAGCTCCCAGCCCCTCCAAAGTTTAACTTTCACATCCGCGAGTCCTGGAATTCAGGTAGGCCTTGGTCCGTCTGCTTGCAGGAGAGTGGCCCCAGATACTTCCCACCTCCCTTCCTGGCCATGCCTTTCCACCACTCTCCTTCCTGCTCTGTGTGCACCTGCTGCCCCTGCCTCCCCGCCCCGCTGCCTCCAACGGATCTGAAAGAGAAAAGGGAGTGGAGATTCCAGGGAGGTGGGAGCAATATGTGGCCTCCACCTGTTTCCCTGCATGGAATTGACAGAGCCGGAAGTGGTGCCTCTCAAACTCTCTGCTGAAAGCGCTGGGCCCTCCTTCCCCACAGGCATCATCACGGTGATGTCCGCTCTGTCCGTGGCCCCCTCCAAAGCCTGGGAGTACTCCAAGGAGGGCTGGGAATACCTGAAGGAGCGAACCAAGTAGCCTGTCAAGAGGAAGCTGCCTGCCCCAGGCGGGAACAGGGGCCAGGGCGCCATGGACGCCAGACTGGGACCCCACTCCTAGGGCAGCTCCCGGCCTTGCCGGCCCAATAAAGGACTTGGAAGTGTTCCCCGATCCGTGTGCTGGCCCCCGGGGCGTGGGCTTCTGGCTCCTGGGGGCTCTTCAGGGCCTGACCTTGACCGAAGGCCAAGGTTCACCCCTTTGTATCTGGGCCCTGCCCACTGGTGGGCCCTCGACCTTGTATGGTGAGTGGGAGCAGACCACTGCCCTGGGGCTCAGGGCCCATCTGGGTCTGGGGTCTTCTCAGTTCTTGGAGGGCTGAGCACAGGGTGGGGCAATCTGGGGGTAAGGGCTGGTCTACACAGCTGCGAGCCCCCAGAGCCACTGATTGTCCTGCTCGGCTCACTGATCTGCCCGCCTAATCTAGTCCCTGTCCTCTTGCCCTCACCTGGTTTCCACTCTCATTCCACCCTCTCCCCACAACCTGGGGATTCCTGGGGAGCACAGACCTGGCGGTCATGGCCGTGCAGGGAGTCTCCCTGGCCCACAAGGGCCCTGTTTTCCAGATGTTCCCTGCTCCCCTGGGAAGCCTTCTCTGACACCCGTGGTGTCAGCTGCTTGGTGACCTAAATGTCTCTCTGTCCAGCTGGAGCTCTGGGGAGGGTGGGCCCTTCAGATGCTCCCTGTGAGATCCCCAGCACCCAGTCACAGAGCATCCCACCATGGTGATGGCAGGAGGAAACCTCTGCCCCAGACAGGGTAGGAGGTGGGCTTGGGTGGGAGCCAATGACTGGCCCAGGAAGCTACCCTGGGAACAGGGAGGAGGCCTGGGTAATGGTGCCCTGAGCTGGCACAGGATCCTCTGTTCCCAAGAGTTCGGAGTTCATGTCAGTTGGTTTAGGGAATAGAACTCACCCAGGGACATGACTCAGGAGGGGACGGCACTGTTACAGATGAGGGAAGCAGAGACCAGAGGCCGGGGCATTTCCCAGGCTCGCCTGGGAGCAGAAGCCAGCACGTGTCCATCCATCCATCTGGCCAGGGAGGAGTGGGGAGGGCAGGGTGGTGCTTGGGGAGGGAGAGCCCTGAGTGACCTGTGCCACCCTGGTCTCCAGGAATGGTCTCCAGGTGGGGTCTCCCATGTCCTGTGTGTCACCTGAAAGCCACCTGGGCCCCTGTGGAGGTGGGAGCAGGTCTATGATGAGGGTGGGATGAGTGGGGCCTGGGGCCATCCTTGATCCTCTGCTGCCGAGGAGGGAGCTGGTGCTGGCCATTTCGGAGGCTGAGGGCACATCCTGAGTTCAAGGACAAGCCCTGTGAGCTGTCCCAGCCTGACTCTCCGTCCACAGAGCCCTTCCAGCAGCCTCGTGGGCCCATTTTTTACAGATGGAGAATACAGGAGGGGTTTGTGCTCAGGGCGCAGGGAGCTGGGGTGGTGCCATGTGTTCCACGAGGCTCCCTGAAGCCTCAAAGGAAGCCAGTCTTTGAGCTGCCCTGGGGACATGGGTGTGTGTGTGTGCGCGCGCGCGCGTTTTCTAGCACTGAAACCAGCCTATGGTCACTGGCCCAGGGTTGGCCATGGGCTCTGCTTGACCCCATGGCTTTCCCGCTGTCCACACAGACCAAGCTGACAGCCTGGAGACCAGTGCTGCTCTTGCCTCTGTGTCTCCTCATCCAGTCAGACCCCTATTCCTCTCCATCGACTTGTATTTGTTGCCAGTGATCACCTCCCTGCTGACCCCCACCTCCGGGCCTGCCCCCTTCCATCTGTTCCCGAGACCATGTCTGATGACGTCACCCCCTGTTCAAACACCTGCAGCTCCCCCTGCCCTCCCTGTGAGCCCAGACTCCTCAGGGGCCCTGCCTCCCCTCAGTCCTTGGATATGCCAGCCCAGTGGCCCTCAGTTCTCAGAACACAGCTGGCTTTCCCGCCAGCTTTTGCCCACAACTTTGCAGCCCCTCATTAGGCCATCCTTCCTCTGTTCATCCTGCCCCCAGCTGAGATGCCCCCTCATTTGGGAAGCCTCCTCTGTCCCCTTCCTCAAGTGCCCTCTCTGGGCTTCCTCAGTGCCCTGTGGGTGCCCCATCACAGCGCCCAACACCTTGGGGCAGATTTCCACAGCTTGGCATCGCTGATATCGGGAAGGATAAATCCATGTTGGGGCCACCCCAGGGACCGGGTGTTGAGCAGCATCCCTGCCTCCAACCCCCAAAATGCCAGCGGTGCCTCCTTACCCACCACGTATGACAACCGCACATGTCTCCTGGTGCTGCCAGTTGTCTTCGCGGGACAGAATCACCTCGTGGTTGGACGTCCAACATGGGTCTCAGTGGGCTGAAATCCAGGTGTGGGCATGGCCGGTTCCTTCTGGACGCTGGGAAGAATCCGTTTCCTGCCTTTCCCAGCTCCTAGAGGCCATTGTGATCCTTGGCTGGCGTCCCTTCCTCTGTCCTCACAACCAGCAGTGTGGTCTTCCGCTGTCGTGTCCCCTTCTTGCCCTTCTCCCTATTTCCCTTACAAGGACCCACCTGGGTAACCCCAGATACCATATGAAGGTTCTTAATTTAATCCTGTCTGCAGGTCCCTCTTGCCACGTGCGGTATAAATTTACAGGGATTAGGAGGGGGATGTGCCTGGCCTGATGGAGGAGGTGTATTCAGCCAATAGGTGGAAAGGCCTGGTCCTGTGTCTGTCTTCCCTTGTCTGGGCCCTGGGGGGACAGGGGCCCGGTTAGCCTTGGTTGTTGGTACATCTCAGCCTTCAGACAGGGCCAGACCCTTCTTGAGTGTGAGATAGAGCCAAGAGGCAGGCCTCTGAGCACTGTTCCCCTAATAGGGGGGCCTGCCCCCAGCTCCATCCATACAGACCCAGGGCCCCTAGAGACAAGGAACACAGCTGACCTGGGGAGGTGGCACTGTCCCACCAAGCCACCCCTGGAGTCCAGGCAGCACTTGAACCCTGAACACACCTGCACCTTATGTGGGGCGAGACCCCCCGCCCCGACTCCGACTCCTCTGTCCCGGCAACTCTCCTTCCACTCCGGCCCCTGCCACTCCCCGAGGTGGACTTCATCACCTGGTGGACTTCATCACCTGGTGTCCAACAGCTCTTCTGCTCCTCTCACGGCACACGTGGTCATCTCTCCTCCCCACGAGGATGCAATCCCACTCATGAGGTCCCTAGAGGAGTCAGATTCAAAGACAGAAAGTAGGTGGTGGGGGCCAGGGGGCTGGGGACTGAGTGTTTGATGGGGACAGAGTTTTAGTTTGGGAAGAAAGAAAAGTTCTGGAGATGGACGGTGGGGATGGTTGTATGACGCTGAGAATGTACATAATGCCACTGAACTCTACCCTTAAATGGTTAAAATGGTCAATTTCATGTTACGTGTATTTTACCACACAAAACAGCCCGTTCAGCAAGGGTGTCATACATGGAGGCAAAATGTGGGCGATTGGAACAAACATCTGAGGTATGTCACAAGGCCCATGAGGAAGGCCAGACAGGCTGAGACACACGACCCAGACGGGTCCTATGAACTCCGGGCCCGGGCTCACGCAGGCTGGAAGGGGTGTGCTGCTGGCAAAGTGCTTCTGGAAAACCCAACAGTCCCCAAAAGCTGCCCCTTTCCATCCTCCTTCCCTGAAAGAAGAGCTGTGGCTTAGCACTTATGAGTATAATTTCATTTTACTTAAAGACGTGAAAATAAAAAGACACGACGCTTTAAATAAAGGGTATGTGAACAGAAACACATTTATTACAAAAAAACCAAAAAAAAACAAAAAACAAATTCACATTGTATTGAGCTACAATATGGCAGCAGATAAAAAAAAAATTATTGTACACAGTTTAAGGGAACTCTTAACAGAACATATTCTTGTTGCCACGTGACATAACACAGGAGCCCAAGCACTTAGTAGCGGCGAGTGAAGCGGGCGTCGTTGGGTCGGCTCCCCCGGTTCTGGCCCCCGAAGCCACCACGAGGGATCACGTGGCCCCGAGAGGCCCCCCCGGGGGCAAAGCTGCCGCGCCTGAAACAAAGGCAAATTATTTTTATTTTTCACTCAGTGGGCTCTGCCCTGTGCCTGTGCTCTCTGGGGCCTCCTTCCTTTTAGCAGCAGTGACACCCGCCCAAGCACACAGCACCTTCACTGACGCGAGCCCACAAGCAAAGACAAGACCGGTGACAATGCGCCTTACCCTGACATGCCTCCCCGGTTCATCATGTGACCTGGCCCCGAGTGACCAGACATACTTCTCTCACCGCCTGGAAAACAAGGAACACTTTTCACACAGCGCCTCCAGGCACAGGACATCAAGTTCAGAGGACACGGGGCTCAGACAACTCCAGTCCCTTTCTTGAGCCACAGGTCCGTCCGTGAGGATGTGTGAGCACACGGATTGCACACACCCACTCTCCTTGCTAAGTTACGGTGAAGAGGAGCTACAGCACCTGTGGCACACCTCCTGTGCCACACCTCACCCACTCACCCACCCAGGCCGTAAGGAGCAAGGCCACACGCTAGGGAGAGCAGAGAAAGTTGCTCCCGCCCTCACGAGCAGTGCCCGACGTACAGCAGGGGCAACCCCAGCTTCCCAGATGCTTCTCCACCGAGACAGATGCGCCTTGGCCAAGGGCCAGTCCTCACCTTGCCACCTCCTATGGTCCCTGTCCATCATGCCTCCGTCAGCAGCGCCCTGCCACGCACGGTCATCCTCCATTCTTCGGCTGTGGTCCCCCCACTCACGTCTGCCCCTTGGAGAAAGACATCTCTGATTTGGACTGCCCCCACCTCTGCCCTCCAGGAGAGCAATGGCACTGGGTTTGAGAGGGTGCATTTAGCACTTTGTGACCCCAGCCTTTTGAGCAACGGGGGCTGCGGGGGAACGGAAGTGGCACTCGATCCGATGCTGCTCAGAGAACTCAGAGGCAGCCTGGGCCGTGGCGAGTGCGCTGGGCCCGCACTCAGCTTATGCCCAAGACCAGGGGTCCTCAGCCAGACACACCAATCCTGCCAGCTGGGTGAGAGGCCCCGATGGGCACCATGGGACGTAAGACACAAACCTGGGGGGAGGAGGCAGCCCCCGGCCCTCGCTCATCCTCTTGTCAGAGCTGTATCCGCCCCACCCATCACGGGAATCCCGTCCGTGGCGCTCTGGTCCTCCGTGGCGTTCGGGGTAATGCTGGACGTTAAAGGGTCAAAACGAAAGAAGGCCTCAGTACAACCCTGGATCCCAGGGCCTTTGGAGCAACAAGTTAATAATGACAAGGACGATGACTCAGACAGGAGCCCCTGCAGGCCCAAGACAGTGCCGGCAGGCCTTCTTTACACTGTCTGGGGCCACACAGAACCTTTCAGCTGGCACAACACAGCCGCACCCCCGAAGTCTGCTCAAGGCCTGGGGAGGAGCAGTGCTCATGGAGCCCAAGACCAAATTATGTTCTCCCTAATCAGAAGGCAGAGATTCAGGCACCAATGGACTGAAGCGTGCTGGGGCTGAGCGACTGCCCCACACCAGGAATGGATCACGCTGTGCCAGGTGCCTGTGCTCAGAATATTATCAGGGAGCCACCAGAGCAGAAGAGCCACCAGGGATCCTTTGACATGATTCACTCCGGGGCCTGGCATCCTGTCCTGCTTTGTCCAGACACGACTCCTTGGCAGCCCAGCAGCTTACTCAGTGGCAATGGCCACGTGAACTGCTTGGCCAGCACAGACCCCAGGAGGATGAAAGAGAACACCTCATACTCTAGCCCCAACCCAAGCCCGTCCCTGCCGGCTGCAAGAAGGCCCAGGCTGACTTTCATGGAGTTGGCGAGGTGGCTCTGGCTCCACAGCCCTGTTCTCTTGTTGTTCCACAAACCTGATCTGTGGCTTTGGGGCTTTTGCCCCAGGACTATGGTCTAACTGAGAAGGAAGGAGAAAGGCGTCCTGGTAACGAAGCCCCTTGGGGTCCCACTCCAGCGGCCCTGTCCCCGTCTGCATCCACGGGAATCTCCTGGGCCAGGGCAGGTACACGGTGGCTCCACATGGGAGCCCTGACTTCGTGGCCCTCGGCGCACTGGGCAGCACCGCTGCCTGCTCCCCACGGCCGCTCGTCCCCAAATGTGTGCCCACACCGCCCTAAACACAACAAAAGGGGGTCTATCTTACAAGATGGACAAAATAGAACATTGTTCCTTCAAGGGGCAAAATCACAAGACAACGTGTCCAGGAAAGTCAGTGCTGGCAAATGTAACAAGGGCTCTCAAACGGGATTCCGGAAGTAGTTCTACGAACAACCTTCAAAGTGCACTGACTTTAAAAAAATTATAGCTCATGCTTTACACAGCTTCATTTAATTTTGGACAAACATTTAAGAATGACCTTTTATCAATAGCCTTCTGAAGACTAATCAGACAAACACTGAAAGGATAGAAGTTCATCTCAGCAAGACCTAGTTATTTAAAGCCCATTCCCATCTCTCCCTGGTGTTTTAAAATTTAACCAACATTCTCCTGTCTAACAACCCACCCACCCACGGACCAGTCCAACAAGGCCCTGAGGCCTGTGCTGGTTTTCCCTTTCTGTGTCAGATGTCACCATTTGCCGTTCGGGGCAGCAGTTGTGTCTTACTTGTGATTATGGATGTGAGAACACAAACACTCCTCTCAGTCAGGAGAGCACTATCTCATCAGATGAGAATAGCTATCCATGATCAAGAGCAACACGGCAGGACTGGGCAAACACTTGCCGCAGACACGTATGTCATCTCATTTAACCCCCACTCCACCTCACCCTCCCTCCCCTCCTTTCACAGCTGGAGAAACAGGCTCAGCAGCAGTGGTGGCCCCGCGATGTGACCCTGGTCCTGATTCTGGAGCCTGGACGTTTAACCACTGTGCTCAATGTCTCCACCAAAGGATGCCCATGACACTAGGGGTACATTTAGCTGCATGGGAGATTTATGCCCGGGAGCAGAGAAACAGGAATCCCGTGAGGGTCATGGAATTGCTCCTGAGGTGGCAGCGAACTCCTCAGATGCAGTCAAGGAGCTTAGCCATTCCCAGCCATGTTCTCAGGCATGGAGGGAGGATAGGACTGAACGTCGGTGCTGTAGTCAGGGAGAAGACCGACCCACGGGGCAGCGATTCTGCCAGAACGATGCCCTGACCACAACTTTCCCTCATCCCTCTGATTCTCCAAGGAAACCCACTAAGAAGTCAAGGCTCTTTGGGGAAGTTCTCAATCTAAATGTAAGATAGGAAAAAAGGAGAAAACTGAGCTTGTTTTCTAATGTGTTCATCCTGCAAAAAGAAAACGTGTGGGCCTGACTCAGTTGCTTCCCGAGGCTCAGCGGGGGCGGGTTAACCCTGCGACCATTGACACTCCAGGGGCACTTGGGCTCCGTGACACGAGGCATCGCGTCTAGTCAGTGCTGTGGGTCACAAGGCACTTCCCAACAGAGCCTGCCAGACTCATGCAAGGCTCTCCAGCACTTTAGTACCGGTGTAGTCACTAAGGTATATAGAACCTTAGGGTCAAAGCCAAACAAGGCTTCAGAATACTTGTTTGAATTTTGGGCCAGCACAAAGCACAAGCTATTCACACGGTCATCCCACAGAACATTGCAGGTGCCGCACTCCCTTACTCGTTCTTCCTCTAACTCAGGTGGAGGAGGAAGAAGGCAGACAAAGGGAAGAGAACCAACTGTACAGGGAAAACTGTGGCTACAATCACAGCTTCTGACTCACCTGTCCTTCTCTTTCTCCCATGATTGACCTTGAACCTTCTCTCCTGAAAAAAGCAATTTAAATGAAAGCATAAGGAGAAAGATAGGTTGGTTAAGACCCCAAACGGAAAACATTTCCACTTGAACCCAGGTAATTCACACACACTCTGCTGGTTCAAGTGGGCTGGCTACCTAGAAGCCTAGAGCCTAGAAGAGCCACTCGAGCTCTTTGTCATTAAGAATGAACCAGGACAGGGACTTCCCTGGTGGTCCAGTGGTTAAGACTTTGCCTTCCAATGAAGGGGCCTAGGGTTTGATCCTTGGTTGGGGAGCTAAGAAAGATCCCATGGCTCGGGGCCGAAAAATGAAAATGTACAACAGAAGCAATATTGTAACAAATTCAATAAAGATTTTAAAAATGATCCACATTAAAAAAAATAAAAAAGAAAAGAATGAACCAAGACAAAGAAAACATGCATCAAGCAAGCAGGGTCAGTGGCTGACCTGTCGACTGAGTGGTCAGGGTAGCGTCCCCGGTCCCTGTGGTCAAAGTCGTGGAAGCGGTCCTGGCGGTTGAAGTCAGAATGGTAACGCTCATCCAGGGCGGCCCGCTTAGCTTCTGGCCAGTAAGCATCATCTCGCCTAGGAGAGGAAGCAAGAAAGAGGACGTGCATTTCCCCCTCCAAATAGATTACCTTTGCGGAAGCTGGTAAACTTGACCCTCCCACTGCCCCTATCACTTCACAAAACAAGAAGGAACTTTATCATTAGCGCCCACATGAGCTGAGAGCGCCTGGAGGGATGACGTGGGATGTGACTGAAGGGCTCCGTTCTCTCTTACCCCACATGCCCCTTGTCCCCCACAGAAAAGCTCAGGTCTCCCTGTAGGAGGGGATCAGTGAAGTGTGTGTCAGCAGATCCCCTCTGGGAACCTCTCACGGCCATGAGGGTCGGCCAGTCTACCAGGACAATTAGTACACTGCTGTCCTTTTATCCCAATGCAGACTTGATCCAGCAGACACCAGGTGGGGAGGACTTTCAGTAGCACTTGAAATGTATTGGTTCAAAAACATTTCTGGCTCTCCCCTCAGTATCTTGTAAAATGCATAAAAAGTCCTAAGACACCTTAAAGGCCCTTTACAGAAGTCTCAGTGATACATTACACAGGGACTTCTCTAACCCATGCCAGTAGAAAGAAGATTAAAACAAAGGAACAAACACACACCACCAGGCAGTCTCCCCCAAGACACCATGCATGTGGAAAAGCTCTGATAGGATCATTGCTAGGATTATCACCCCAGACTCCTGACAGCAAGACCTGAGACAGGCCTTTCACTGGTGGTTAGCGTTTTAGTATTCGTATGGCACATCAGCATGTCTGGGGAATTAAAACCAATCTCATTAACAGAATGAACCAACACAAATTACTGCAATGATTACAAAACCTGGAAGGTGCCCAGAAGGAGGTGCTGGCCGCGTGCCCAGCCCCACGTGTTATGTGCTGCTCTGGGTGTCTGAACTCCTTCCTGGGGGAGGGGGCGGTGGTCTGTGCTGGGACCTGAACCTAATGATTTAATAAGCACCACTTTATCCAACCATTTCTCCACCGATCTCAAACTATCTCAGGTTCCCAGATGAAGTACAGAATACCAAATTTGACTGTAACAAGTACTTGTGCTTCCTTTTAAGTAAAAATCGTTGTGTTAACAGGACTCTGGGGACCACGGCACAATTCTAAACACCAGGGGCCACCTCAGGGGTGGCGGTTAGGAGTGGCGTGGCTTACCGCCCGTCGTCGTAGGGCCTCCGCACAGCGGGCCGCCGCTCCTGCTCATAGCGCAGCTCCTGTTGGCGCCGCAGCTCCTCGCGCTCGTGGTGGATGCGTTCCTGCTCGCGCCTGCGCTCGTGCTCCACGCGCATGCGCTCGCGCTCCAGCCGCTCGCGCTCCAGCCGCTCCCGCTCCAGGCGATGTCTGTGGAAAGCCAGCCTCTCGCGGGCGATGAGCAGCCGCTTGCGCTCCTCCCGCTCCAGCTGTGCCTGCATGCACTGCTCTCGCTCACTGCGCTCGCGCACCCTGGAGGCAAAGAGTAGAGGCTGCAATGGCCTAGGGGCCGCAGCAGCGCCCAGTACCGAGGTCCTCTCCCAGCAGGGGGAGCTACGGATGGAACCACGGCTCCGCCCCGGGGTGGGATGGGGGGCCCGGGCTGCAGATACATTTAGCAACAAGCAAGGGCCAGCGGCCGCTGGGTGGTGGACGCAGCCCGGCTGTGCAGGACCCCGCCAAGGCTGAGGGCACTGACAGCCCTGCTTTTGCAGGTGATACTGATGGTGCCCAGCGTGCTTCCCTCCAGTCTCCGTGTACAGCTGCCAGGTTGTCTCCTGTCTATCCTCTGCTATGTGTTTAGACACATAATCATACCAGCAGAAATGTCTAATCTTGCCTTACTTTGTGTCTGCGACTTAGGAAAAAATGGCTGCAGCTTCCTTGCTTTCAGGCACCATGTCCTGGACCCTGTGCGTCCCCACCTCTACAGATGTACGGCATGCTTTTGGGAAGGAGCCCACGGAGTGAGAGGCCACAGTTTACATGACCACTCGCAGATGTGGGCCTTCTGGTTGTTCCCAGCCTCAGGGAAATGGCCACCCCGCCCCACTTTCTTAGCACAGGTTCCTCTCAGGCAAGTTGGGGGAAGTGGCATTGCTCGGTCTGGAACACCAGGATTCAGAAGCCCATGCTACCTCGGGACCGCTCTCCAGGCTGCTGTGCCCCCCGGACAGGTCACTCCCACCACTACAAGCATCTGTCTCCCCTCACTGTAATTCAGATCAAAATAATAGATGGAAAACCAGTCTCACTGCTGTTTTCACCTGCATGTCCCTGATGCCTGGTGAGGCTGAACGACGTTTCATGTTTCATGACCATATGTACACAGCCCCTTCTGTCCATCTTCTATCGGGTTATTTTTTATCTATTTCAAAACACCTTTACCACCATCTGTCACACATCTTTGCACTTTCTCTTTGGTCTTTCATCGTATAGAAATTTTAATTTACTCTACCTCTCCTTTATAAATTTTCAGTCCTTTCAAAATCTCAAACTCATAAATATATTTACTTTTGCATTACACGGATAACTAATTTTTATGTTTTTCAGCCAGCAGTTTATGTTGACAATTTGTAGTGATGTGAGCCAGAGATCCAAAGGACTGTCCGAAGGCACAGCCAAGTGACCTGAAGCCATTCTGGGGCGAGCCCCGTCCTTTTCTCACTAGTGGGAAATGTCACTTTTATCATGTTAAACTCCCACACGCACATGGGTCAGTTCTACTCATTTGCTAATTACTTCACCAAAACCGCACTTTTTCTTTGCCCACTGCCGTTCCCTTTCCAGCACAAAGTTCTGTACGGCATACTACAGAAAACAGTGCTCCTGCCCCCTTTCTCAGTCTCATTCTGCTAGCCTTTTTACTAATGGTTCTTATTTTTTAAACTACATTTTTAATTTTTTTTCTTGATAGGAAACATTAACTGTCACTCAACGTGATCGACGTCATTTCTGTTTAGTTTTTAAAAATTATGAGGACCTTGTCTTGGGCTTATTTAAGGACGAGGACCTCTCAGCTCTCTCATTGGGTCTGTCCCACTGTTTTTCCCTATTCACAGCTTCTGGAGCAAATTTGCTATGTTCTGTTAACTAGCACTACTGTCCCAGGAAAGCATTCCATCTCCCTGCCATTGCTACCTCCCAGAATCTTCAAAATATCTGCCTGAGAAAACAGTTTGAAAAAAGTCACAGAAGAAAGCCAGTGCACAGGAAGTCTGTGAACTAAGAGCCAAAGGAACAGAGGTTTAAAGCAATATTCCACCCACAGGGGACTTGGAAAATATCCTCCCAGGACAGAGTTATCACCAGTCAACGGCAACACCCAAACCAGCCCACATTCCTGGATTCTGACTCACCTGCGGGACTCTGAGTCTCGTGACTTCCTCGACTCTTTGACTTTATCAAAGGACACAACAGACCGCTTCTCCCTGCTGGCCGATTTGCGATCCTGGCTCTTGGAAACCTGGTTCACCAAGAAACATTGAAAAGTTAAGGTAGAAACAACAACAGGAAGAATCAGGTGTGTCCAGGTCCAAGCATCCAAGATCAGAAGTGAAGATGAACATTTAACGAAACAGATAACAAAGCCTTCTCTCCTAAGGAACTTCATGTTTGCTTATCGTAATTCAGAGTCACAGACTGTCATTACCATTTAATGCTAAAATATGACTCGAGTTCTTTCACTAGTCAAATGGAAACGAGTATCTTACCAGAAACTTTTTGTAAGATAAAAAAGTATTTTTTTTCACTTTGTCTTTTGCGTCCCAAACACATTCTTTAATATTAAACATGTGGCGATGCCCAATTGAGACTGCTTCTGGTATGTTTGAGGATTCCTTATTTGTGCCGACTGCATTATTTTTTGAGATCTACCCGCCTCAGCCCTCAAATTCACACTTCCAATTTGCCATTCTACATCATATATTATAAAGTAAGGGGAAACCGCTCTAACACAGTAAAATATTTGCACAAACACAGGCAGACTGAAATGCCATAATAGAAATGTCAGCTTGCAAATAAATGGTCCACAACATTCAGAAGCTTAAACGGTTTATCTTCTGGGCAGCACAGGTTAACATGGCAGGCCTGAGGCTGGTGTTAGAGAACTTGGCATTCAGAGTGTCCCTAGTCAACAGTTAACTGGCAAAGGTGGTTCACTGTGCCCAGACCATGCAAACGATGATTTCTGCTGAAAACCTGCTCTCCTTTGGTACTTGCCTGGAGAGGGGCCTACGTGACCAGCCCCAGTAAAAACCCTGGGAGCTGAGGCTACAACGGGCCTCCCTGGGAAGAAGTATCACCCTCAAGTGGCTGCACTGTCGCTGTTGCGGGAGCCATCACGGGAGGGAGAACACAAAGGAGCCTGCAGGGTCCCCTCCAGACTCCCCACACCTGTCTTTCCCCGCCTCCCCAGCTGTGTATCCTCTCTGCATCACTGAAGCCAATCCTGACTGTGACTACAACTATGTGCTGAGTCCAGGGGGGCCCCCAGTGGATCTCAGAATGTGGATAGCCTTGGGGACCTGGACCCACATCCATCAAAGCTGTAAGCCTGTCAAAAGTTGAACGTATGAATATCAACAGCTACCCATGACCCCAGTGGCAGGCAGAGTGAAGTGGTAAGAACCTAAGACTGGCACTCTGTGGATTCCGTGTTCTGTGGAGCACCTGCAAGGAGTCAGAGTATGGACTGGCTGTAAAGGCGGGCCGGAAGGCTGGCTGGGTCACACAGGGGTTTAGGAATGCACGATGAGAGCTGCTGAAACTTCCAGACTGGCAAGGAAAATGGACTACTGTACCCTGATTCAGGCAAACAAAGCCAACCACTCCCATAACTAAATTTGAAAATTAGTTATAAAAGATGAAAAAGCAACAATTCTTATTATACAAACTATGAAGCAAAGCTTTTAAACTTTCCCATTTTTAAAGTTCAAAAAAACCTACATTTTGAAAAGGCTGACAACTTTTCTCAAGCTCAAGAAGCCCCTAAAACACACATAGGAACGTCAGAGGAAATACCTACCCTAGGTGGGGAAGGAACACTCACTCTGTCTTTGGATCCTGATGTTTTGACACTGATAACAGGCACACCTTTAGATTTATCCATCACCACAGTCCGCTCAGTTCCTCGACTTCCTACAGGAAGAAAGGAGCAAGATAAGAAGCGGCACCTCCAAATGAGGAACAACACTCAACTCCACAGAAAACAAATGTAGTTTGTGTTGCCAACTAACCACACCAGCTAGGAAGAGAACACAAGGTGAAATCTCCCATACCCATTGGTCAGCTACCTGATTTTGTGGTTCGAGATCGTTCTGAAGGGCCAGGTTTCTGATCATCCTGATCTTTGCTCTTTTCTCCACTTCCATCTTCACTCTTTTTAGCATCATCTTTTCTGTCGGGCTTCTCTTCTCTCTTAAGGTTTGCAGATCTAAAAATAACACCCCAGACACAAGTGGGTGAGAAGAGATATTGAGGGAAAAAAGCCAGCGATGATGACAGGACTCTTGCAATGAGCACCAAGTGATGAGGAGGCTGCCTCTAAGGCATCAACAGGATGGGGAACAAGGAGCCTGCCAAGGGACTGGAGTCATCTCCCAGGACTAGTGGTGAAACCGTCCTCAGCGAATGCAAAAAAGTAAAGGGGGCGAGGGCCTCACAGCCTTCCCCATCCGTGGAAAACGTGAAGGACGTGAAATGAAGAAAAGGGTCACCTTGGCCACAATCCCCTCGGGAAGAGTAATACCTGTCAGCATTGCTAGACTTCTCTTTTTTCCCCTCCCCTTCTCTTTTGTCAGAAGTTTTCTTCCCAGCAGGTTCATTTTTTGCCTGAAAAAGAGAATCAGGTGGAAGTATTACCTTATTTCCTAACATGGTCACATCCCGGGAAGAAAACAGCCCCTTACTTTTTCCACTGAGATCATCTTCCCGTGGAGCTCTGTTTTGTGCAGGTGGTTAATGCATTTTGTGGCCTCTTCCGCGGTGGACATGGTAACAAAGCCGTAGCAGCGAGCTCCAGGACTCCGGGCGTTGGTCACAACCTTGGCGCCCACCACCTTGAAGGAAAGCACACAAATATGGCTCGGACACGAAGCCCGCCCACAGATCCTGACACTGCGGTTCATGCTGCGCCCCCCTGCCCCCCACCAGAGACACTGAGGACAGGTGGACAAGTAGCAGGTAGAGGCTGGGGAGGGTAATGCTCCTGTCTGGCTGCTCCTCCTCCATCCTGCCTGCTCCTCTAGGGCACCAGGATGACAGTGTGGACGACAGAGAAAGTGAAGCAGAAGGCAGAGTCCGGACAGCATGCCGTTAACACTATGTAAAATTTGTAAAGCAACGTTTCTGAATATGCAGTCGTCTACGTGGCCAGTGACGTAGGAAAACACATCTACAGAAGGAGCGACAGGACAGGTTCATAAAGAGCGCTCTGTAATGAAGAGCCCATCCTACTACTAACAAAAATTCAAGGAGATGTTTCAGGCACTACAGATACATCCTTATATGCTACTTAACTCTCCCAACAACCTCAGTAAGCTGAAGTTAGGAACACCCTTTTATGGCAGAAGGCACCACAGCTCAGGAGAGGTCCCACTGGAACCAGTGGCCATGGCCAGTATTCAGACTCACTGTGCCACATGGAGTCTTACCCCCAAAGGAAGGTTTCAGAGTGGTCTGGTCCCTTATTCGAGCCAGCAATGAACCCAAGACACTGCAGGCTCCAGGCTGACACTTCCCTGCTGAGAGCAGCCATCTGCTTTGAGGGCCACAGCAGAATCAAGAAAAGGTTCCCACCTTGTATTATTGAGGCCCAGGGAGTCGTGAGTCATTTTGAGAAACATGTCAAGTTTAGTCTTCCTTGTTAGCTCCTGAACGTCAACAACAAAGGTAAATGACGTTGGTTTTCTCAGTTATCATTGCTGAACCCTTACTACGAACACGAGCCTGTGCTAAGTCTCACTTGGCCAAGGCTGACTGAGAGACAAGGAGGCACAGGTGCAGCGGTTTATCTGGAAGTGAGTCCAGGAAGCATAGGGAGGAAGGGGGAGAGGGAGGGGGAGAATGAGGAGGGACTAAAGGTAACACACGAGGGACTGCAGTTGGCACCCAGGCGGGGAGGTGGCCCACCTGGGCATCACGGCCACCCCTGCCGGGCTGAGGACGGAGGGAGACAGGCAGGGGGGGCAGAGAAGAGGGGGCCAGAGCTACCCAGCTGGGGGTGAAAGCAGGTGGGCAGAGGCAGGGCACCATCAGCTCTGCTCCAGTTACACACGCCATCGTAAGGAGGCAGCAACTTTGAGGGCCCCCAGGTGACGAGATGAGGTTCACACGGGAGAGGCGACATGCCCCGGCCACACAACTCTGAGCGGCAGAGCTGGGGCCCATAGCTGTCCACACCGGCCTGGCTCCCCAGATCTTGTCTGTAACCGTATCTAGAGCTTCATTCTGTAATCACCACCATCTCACGAAAATGCTACCAGCACCTTCCCACCCTGCCCTCTGCTCCACCCTCCACAGCCCTCCCTGGATTTAAGGCCTAAAGCCAGAGAAATGGATTCAGGAAGCTATCAAGTTGTGTGGTGGCTTGGGGGCCGGGGAAAGGTGAGAAATACAAAGTGGACGTGGGCTCTGGGAACTCCCACTGGGCTTGCATCTCTCCCCGTGGGGGGGCGGACCCGCCACAAGCAATGTGAGCAGATGTGAAGTCAAAGAGCGGCACGGTCACTCAAAGTCCTCACTGCATGGGGACAATGATCTGCGCGTAGAAGCCATACTGCATGGGCTTAAAAATATCATCTCCGGTCTTACCTTCCCATACTTGCTGAAAAGATTCTTCAAATCTGTAGCTCTGGTGGTAGAAGAAAGTCCACTAACCCAGAAATTCCTACCACAACTGCTACGACCTATCACAAAAAAAGTTCAGGTAAAAAACACGACACCAACAAAATCCTGAGTCTCATTCCAAACCAGACACTTTCCCTTCTTGTCCCAGATGCCAGCAGTACCCAAAGCCAGCTGGGGTGTGGGGCCCCGCCCACTGTCCTTACACAAGCTCTGCGCACTAGGCAGACGGGACCACTGGCAACGCCATCACTACGGCGAGTCAGGGGCTGCTCAGCCCGTGGGAGAGTCCCTTAGCTACCACATGGCATCATCCAATCCAGTGAGGTGACTTTGGAATGTAAGACAGGTGCTATCAGTGTGGAACCACAGAGCACAACCTACCCCTGGTTTTTGTTCTTCTTAGAACACTGATTAAGGAGGAATCTGGACCAGCAAAACTACTTCTCAATCAGTGAATCAATAAAGGGCTCTGGTGTTGATAAATCTGTAATACCAGGGAAAGTGCCCCCCACCGCCCCAAGGTATCTGAAACTCGAAGCATTTTCTCCATCTGCAAGTGTCACCATGGCTAAGGAGGTTGCAAATCAGAGGGTCAGTCAGGATGGAGGAGCTCAAAGCCCTCTGGCAAAATCAAGCATGAGCATCAAATTGATGTGTCAACTCTGCCCTGCAACCCAGAACCTGCAGTGAGGAGCAGGGGACAGAGTGGAGAAAAGGCTTCAAGACGGGCTCACAGGCACATGTGAGGCAGAAATGGGTGTGGACAGCCCAGAACCAAACACCCGCCACCGTGGGGGCCAAACATGCTCTTGGGGACGATGTCACGCTGACCTACCCTTTTCCTCTTTGGAAAGCCTTTTGGTATCCAAGTCATCTTCGACAGAACTAGAGACAAAAGACAATGTCACTCCAGAAGGAAGCAGCAGACAGGAAACAAACTCAAAATTATAAAATACGTGCTGAGGTTGCATACCTACCCGAAATTTAGTTCTGAAAAAATGATACCCCGACAAACGTGTATTGGAAATCTGACCTAACCATAAGATTTCAGACCCACAGGAGTTAATTAATTCTGCTGGGCTAAAGATAATTAGGAAGAATTAAAGAAAACAACCATGATAGGTTGAGAAAAGAAAAAAGATTATGTAATCAGCTTAAAATAAACAAAGAGAAATAAAACATTCTTTAGAAGTAAACTACAATTGCATCAGTCTGGCTGGCCAATTGCAGAAACAACAGCTTATGTGTGTCATTAAACGACCAATGAAAAGAAGATAGCGTCTGGTCTAAAACTGAGAAAAAACAAACCTCATTTTCTGATCAGCGCCCTCACTGGCTGAGGACTCTTTAGGAGCCGGAGGGACTTCATTACAAGCTTCAAAAGCAAACTTCTTCACGTCTTCTTTGCTATCCCTGGGGTCTGGGCTTGAGGCTTCCGGGGGCGCTTCCGAGGCCTCCTCGCTACAGGCTTCCGTGTGCTCTGAGGCTTTACTACTCTGCTCAACTGGCTTCTCTAGCCCTACAGGCTCACAGTCCGTCCTCTCGCCATCGCCTGTCTGCTCCACGGGCTCCCTTTTCACTACCGCTAACAGGGTGTCTGCCTTGCTCGACTGAGCTTGTGCTGTTGACTCGCTGGCCAAATCTAAATCACCCTCCTCCGGATGGGCGCTGTCAAAAAGGTCCTCTTCCTCCGCAAGCTTTCTGTCTGGCCCCACGCTACTTGTTTCCTGTGCAAATGGCTGCTCCAGCTCGGAACCTTCTTCTTTTACTGGCTCAGATTTACAAGTTTCCCCCAAAATGTCGAGTATTTTCTCATTTTCTACGGATTTAACAGGAATAGAATGGCACAAGGTTTAATTACCAGGGAAATAAAGCAATCACAAATGTGGAACTGGCACGGCTGCCACACTAACACGAAGAGAACTGCTAGCTACACAGAGATTGGAAAACCCGCGGGTACACAAAGTTACACTGGTTACACTACCTGCGCTCCAACCGCCTGCGAGAGCAAGCCTCTACGCTACATGGAAGAGAAAAGCATCCCAGAGATTTAACCCCCATAACCTTCTGGCTGATTCTTGACAGTCTTCATTCTGTCGTCGTTTATATATGACTCTTCCAAATTTAGCTTCCAAAGTCCAAGTTGCTTAACTGAATGTATCACCATTCACTGAACAGCTCAATTTCCAAATTTCTTTGAATTTCTTTTAACAGAACAGTCCAACATGAAAACCAGAATCTCTTCCATCGGTGCTCTGAGATATTTGCAGTCCAGAAAGTGAACAGTTATTTGTTTGGAATTCTCATGAAGAAACTCCTCTTCTGGAATCCAGTTACGTCTCAATGTTTTAAACCGTATCTCCCTACCACTGCCTGCACTGCCTGAATTAAAAACCACAAAGTTAAGATACTGCCCAATATCACAAGATCTGTTCTGTGGGGTACAGAGGTATTTGCTCTCGAGAGGCATGCAAACTCTCTCTACATACGTTTAAGTGCCGTGTACATTTAAAAAGGCATGAGACAGTTTCATCTCACCAATACATTTTGCGAAATGAGAAGTTAGCCACTTTCACAGATCTGGTGATATGGCTGGGTTTCCAATCTCTATGATCCTGGTATGTTCTGGATCGTAAACCTTTAGAACAATGTATACTACAGTAAGGTAACTTTTTAAAATTAAAGAATTCAAATTAGAGAAGGTGGAAAACTAGAATGATTCCAAACCCCGTTGCTAAGTTTTTCATTTAACAGTACCTGGCTCCAAGGATGGCTCTTCAATTTCCTGCAACAAAAAATATAAATAAGATTGTGCCAGATGGATGAAACCTAGAATTTATTTACACCAAAAACTGTAATAACTAAGAAGGGAATTTTAAAAACACAGACAAGGGACCTCACAAATACAACAGGTGGAGAACCTGCTTGTTCTGGGCAAGAGCCCACACAGCTGGCATCCCACCTCATTCACCTCGGCCCCAAGCCCCACAGCCCAGGATGCTCTCAAAGGGCCTGGTTTATTACTGTGTTGTTTGCTTTGCTGCACTTCCCAGCGCCTGGCAACATTTTATCACTTTTAATGGTGATGAACCCATCACATGCTTGTCTGTCCCTCTAAATTGTCTTAAACACTGCCCTGGAGGGCAGTGTTTTCATTTTTTCTATCTTTAGTGCCTAGTAGAGTGCCTGACACATATCAGATAATCAATTTTCACTTAATTAATATAGCATTAGTTTCCAAAAATTGAAAAGATCGAGGGAAAGAAGGCACAGGTGGCTTGACCTCTGCTCTTTGAATGGTCATACCACCCCTGCCCACCTGGTCAACTGAGCCCTCTCCAGTGTTACAGATACCTGCTTCTTTATCTCTTCTAAACAATAACCCACCAGGCAGCCCTAATTCCTAAATATCCCTCCAACCCTTCCCAGGAAGCCCTGTCAAGTCACACCATTGTTATTCCTTGCCGACAGTAGTGTTGGTTTTACCACCCCTGTTCCCACCTCCCTCTCCAGCAGGGCCATCTGCACCTCACCCCACCCCGACCAAGTCCTACACATCCCTCGGCATTTAGCTTAGGGGCCACCTCGTCATAGAGAGGCTGCCCAACTAAAGGAAGGGACTTTCTCTCAATATGTGGCCCCTGACCCCTACGTTCCCTCTGCACAAACTACAATATTCTGGAATTCCAGCCAACGCTGATAAGCACTGTCTAGGTTCCAGGCACAAATTCAAGCACCTTACTATATATATATTAACCAATCATCACACAGCCCTAGCAGGTTGGTACTATTACTATCATCCTTCTTTTCACAGATTAGGAGACAGGCACAGAGTGGCTGACAAACTTCCTCAAGGACACACAGCAAAGCCAAGATTTAAGCAAAGGCTATGTGACTGAGAGTCTGTTTATCAGTCCAGGCCTCAACTCATCGCTCTGTTTACACAGGAAGGATGGAGACCAACCTTTCTTCTCATGCATCTGACACAGCACAGGTGCTTAGCATATAAGTTACATGGACATGAATGGTTTGCAACTTCCACTGGGCACTGACCTGCCATTCTGGGGAGCCCTAGGAAACTGTTCACTTTCATAATAGTTTCATTTATTTGTAATCAATTCTTTTTCATTTCATGCTGGGAATTAAAGATTCTACACTGAAGGAAACAATCATTTTAGGCAGAACAATTCTCTCCTGACTTTCCCTAGAGAAAAACGCATATGTTTCTATTTGTCTCTGAGAGGGGCTATATATAAGCGTCTGGTTAGGATAATACATACAGGAGTCTTTGACCTACAGAGACACTCAAGAAAATGACAAGACCCGCTCCTCCTTTCCCTTCTGAGTCAGGAACAGGTTGTGTCACTTTGCAGCTGGAGAGAGACATCAGCCCTAAAGGTGAATGGGGTTTCACCAAGTTTCCTTGAGATCTGCACCCTCAAGGCCGGGGTTCTGGCTTGTTAATAACAAACCTTGTCCCTGCCTGGCAGAAGCAAGTGAAGATCTTGTCTGAAAGGTGATTTCCAATTAAGCAGCATAGGTGACATTATTAAAACAAACAAAAAACAAGGACTGGCATAAGCTGACTGGCAGTCAGCTTACTTATGACTGGCCTAAGTATTTTCATTTCCTCACAAAACTTTCTACCGAAAATTAGCTACCCAGCTTTATTCCAACAGTTTACATCTACAGGCTGGCAGAAAAAGGAAAAGGAAACTCAAGATCCACATTTATGCAAACCATACCTGAAAGTTAGGCCACATCTCATTTGTTCTCATGTAAGATTTAACTTCTACACAGATGGTCGTCAAACAGCCAAGATGATGTAGTTATCAAAAGAAATCTGTGTACTTTCTGAGAAAAACTTCCCAAAGGCAGAACCAGAACCCCTGAGAATCCATCTTTCTTCCCAGCTGTGAGGTCAGCGCTCTGGTCACCCCCTTGCATCCTCATCCGTGCCCCATTCGTCTCTCCTGAGGAGGGGGTGTCCCCCCTGCTGTCTCATGTCTCATCTAATAGTCTTTCTGCAGAGGATGTCATCCAGAACAGACCCGACAGGCTGCCCTTTTCCCACCCATCAAATTAACAAGAACCCCGCAAACACACCCTCCTCTCTGCTGCAGGGACGCCACAGTGCTTGGAAGGGAAGCCAAGACGATGAGCCCTTTTCAATAGGCATGTCATATTAGGGGAAAGTGGAAAGCAAAACCCCCTCTACAGAAGCCAACAAAGGAAATAAACTTTGCAATGACTTTTAGTTGGGACTGCCATACCATATTGGAAGTCGTTTCCAGAGACTGTGGTCTAATGTTTGATTCTAAAATTACTGAGACATACAACAATTTACCTGTAATATAGTGAAGTCAGATGATGAAGTATCTAAATTGTTTATAGTTTCTTTGTCCTCTACCTATAAAATAAATGGAGAATAAAATTTATTACATCAATAATAAGGTAACATAATGGTACATCCATACAGTGAAAACCTACAGCCATGAAAAGTCACTTAAGATGAAATTCTAAACACAGTGCAGGAATCAAAAAAGCATTATATTGGGATTCCACCTCAAATAAAAGAAATGTACATAAACATATACCTGCAGACAGACTAGGAGACCCACTAAAATGGTATCAGTTTGGGTTTCAAGATGCAAGCCAAACAAAGAAAAACAAAAGTCTAAGTTAAGCAAAAAAAAGCACAACTGGGCAGTACATGGGCTCTCCTGGTAGACTGGACCACCAGGTTTGGGGCTGTTCTTCCAGGAACACCATCTAGAATCATGCTGCAGAGTGGGTTCTTGGATTTCCATGGCCACCACAGCTTCCCGAACCTGGATGCTACTGCCATTGGGACTGCTGCTGCTAGGGAGGCTACTGCCCACATGGGAAGGGCTTCTCCGGGAACCCTGCCACTCAGCATCATCAACTTCCAAACTGAGTGTGGGGACAGGAGCATAGGACTGGCAAAGCCCAGGTGACCCAACACTGCCCCATCTGCAGGGCAAGAGTAACTGGTATGTTGAGCTTCTACTCTATGAGGTGGGCTCTGTCCATAAAGCAAGGGATTCCCCAAATATAGAAAGGGGGTTCATAAAATCATTGTTGTGTGACCTAACATAATTTAGATTGTTTGTTATAAAGCCCTGAATGTTGGTTTATTTTTTTGGGGGGGAGATAGTTTCAAAGTATTTTATAACTAGCATGTATTGTTATTATCTTTACTTGACTAGGAAACTACCTTGCACCACTCCTTCCTTCCCCTGACACAGCCATCTCAAGACATTCTACACATGCTCACAAGAGCATGGGCACACATGCATGTGAAAGACTGTCTCTCCTTTCTCTGTCTCCATGATTAGTAGCACATTATTCTGTTCCCTGCCTTACTTTTGCTGCCATCTTGGAGATTATTCTAGTTCATATAAATAAGCTTAGTTCATTGAAATGGTATATAAAAGTAGTAACTGTATCACCGGAAGGAGTAATAAATGTTATAGTAACAGTAGCAATAACCTTACTGCCGCTTTCTATACAATAGGTGCTGCTCTAAGCTGGGGGTCAAGGGCCAGATAGTGAATATTTTAGGCTTTGTAGGCCAGACGGTCTGTCATGAGTATTCTACTCTGCTGTTGTATCCAGAAATCAGCCACAGACAATTGTCACAAATAGGTGTGGCTGTGTTCCAATAAATTTTTGGCCAGCTTGATGACTTTTGCTCTAAATTAGCAATAAGCATTCATCTATTTAGTCCTCCTCAAACCTACTATTTTTGCAAATGAGGCCCAGAAAGATTAAGTAAATTAGCCAAGGTCACACAGCAAGTTAAGTGGCAGACCTCTAGTCAATGCTGTTAACTCTTAAACAACTGCTTCCACTAAACCATGGTTACTTAACAATTACTGATAGACATTTAGGCGTTTCCAAGCTTTTGTTACTTAATATATTATTTTCTAATCACAGGGAATAAAACAGCCTTAAGGAAAAGCAGCCAATAAGGAAGGGTTTCACTGCTCTCGTGTTTCTGGTACTCCTTTTTAGGAAGCCAGTGAATGAGACTCATCAACAGATGAATCAATTGCATACCCTATCTGTGTTAAAATGACCCAATCGTTTCTCAACCCCCCCCCCCCCCCCTTTCAAAGATGACAATCTGCTTCCTCTAAGGGTATTGAGGATCAGTTCCAAAAGAAAATGCAAACACATTCCAAGGAACAGCATGGGTGGACCAGCAGAGAACAGGGCTTCCTTCCCCCGGGAGTACTGGAGTACTCGGGAGACACTCCACAAAAGATCTGAGGAGGACTACGAAAACAAGGTGCCCCCTAGGACCAAGCCCTAGGATTTCCTACAAAGACGCCTCATGGCTTCTATTTTTCATTGCCTCTTCTGGCTACCCGAGAAACGTTCATCCTCACGGAAATGACACAATCCAGTAAATTTAACAGCACTGAGATAATGTGGTGTATGAGTTAAGTACATGGACTCTGGAATTAGACTGGTCTTAATTCTTATTCTCATATGACCTATATATTGTCTGGAGATATTTCTTTACCTTTTTACTCCCCAATTTCCCCAATTGGAAAATGGGCGTAACAGCATCTATATATCACACTGTTGTTCAAAGGATTAAATGAAATAATGCCTAATGTCTGGCAGACAAAGTTCAATAAATAATGCCCACCATAACTGCATCTAACAAGAAAAAAAACCTAAGGCTTTAAAAACAACATCAAAGTCAGTGTTAAAGATTGACTAGGCGAGGGCTTCCCTGGTGGCGCAGAGGTTGAGAGTTCGCCTGCCAATGCAGGGGACACGGGTTCGTGGCCTGGTCTGGGAAGATCCCACATGCCGCGGAGCGGCTGGGCCTGGGAGCCATGGCTGCTGCGCCTGCGCATCCGGAGCCTGTGCTCTGCAACGGGAGAGGCCACAACAGTGAGAGGCCCGCATACGGCAAAAAAAAAAAAAAAAAAAAAAGATTGACTTAGGCGAGTACCAATTGGTTGACAGCAAAAGACCAACTTTGAACCTCTGTTTTGGTATTTTCAAGGCATCCCAGGTGTTACACCACAGACCAATCTCCTATAATAAACTGGAAGATCTACAATAGTATCCTCAAAAGGCTTAACACCGCATGATACAAATGGAGAGCATATACTCGCGTTCCTCACGAGACACCATTTTTCAATGAAGCAAAGTGTGTTTTTCAGACTCATCTGATTTTTACATGTGAATGGATTAGCCACCATTCTACTCAACTGGCATTAAAAGAACTTAGGTCCAAATATAAAACTTATCAACTATTAAGCTATTTGAGGAATTGTTACGTTTAGGGTACACTGTAGAGACACTGCCGAGTTACCTACAGCATGTTCTTGAAGCGGCTCAGGAAGCTCCTTCATTTCTCCCTCGACTAGCTCTCTACTATCAGACAGGGACTCCGGGAGATTATCAGCATCGTCGTCGTCCACACAATCTGCAACACTTCCATTATCGATTTCTGCTTCATCCAACACACTGATATCCATCATGTCGATGTCCTGCAAGTTCTCCAAAGTGGTCTCAACATCCTCCTGTGACAAACAAAATACCACCATCAGATGACTGTCATGGGTCCACGCACGGAGCTGATTCACTGACAAGGCTGCACATACCTGTCCATCCCCAGAATTTTCCTCTAGCCCGTTATCTTCCACACCCTCTTCTTCTGGTTTGCGCCCTGGAGGAATAATTTACAGCATGAGATCATCGATATGCACTTTCCAGACGTGACAACTTGCACTTTTATAGGCCCTAAGCACTACAGAAATAAGACAACCTAAAACACCCGTGGCACTTCTCCATTTAGGAACACCATAATCCAGGAATGATAAGGCCATTCTGCATAAGGCAGCCCCTCTACTACCCCCAAGTAGAAGTGGTTCTTTTCTTATCAACTGGCTGTGGAAGTATGAGGAGCCTGAAATGGATTCTTAATAAGGTGGAGGTAGACTAGACCTTTTCCAGGCCTGCCCTTCTTGTTAAGTGGCTTTGGTTATGGGGAGAAGAGTATCTTATACAAATGTGCTGCTTTGGGGACTTCCCTAGCAGTCCAGTGGTTAGGATTCCGCACTTTCACTGCCCACGGCCTGGGTTCAATCCCTGGTTGGGGAACTAAGACCCCGCAAGCTGTGTGCTGTGGCAAAAAGAAAAAAAAAGAAAAAGAAAAAGAAAAAAAAAGGGGCGGGGAGAGAAAAAGTGCTGCTTAAAAAAAATCTATCTATCTATTTACATGGCTGTGTTGGCTCTCAGTTGCAGCACGTGGGATCTTCGTTGCTGCGTGTAGGACCTTCGTTGCGGCATGCGGGATCTTTAGCTGCAGCAGGAGAACTCTTAGTGGCAGCATGTGGGATCTAGTTTCCTGAACAGGGATCGAACCCGGGCCGCCTGCATTGGGAGTGAGGAGTCTTAGCCACTGCACCACCAGGGAAGTCCCTGTGCTGCTTTTTAGTTAAAGAACGTGGAACACGTTTTCCCACAGAGACAATGACATAAAAGGAAAACATAAAAAAGCAAACAGAAAGTAAAAACCTTTCACAATTTTACCATCTAGAGTTAGCCCTCGAGCTATCATACAGTGGCATATATTGATAAGATATCCTCCCATACTGTGCTATGTACATACGTGTACTTCGCTTTTAAAAATGGCACTGTACTGTCATTTTATAATCTTTTCACTTAATGTATTGTGAACATCTTTCTATACTTTCGTAGCATTATATGGAGACACCGTCGTTGAAGTAAGTAATACCTACGGATGGAGATTTAAGAAAATGCTTATAAAATGAACATTCTGGTAATTCTTTTTTTGCATCCAGGTAATTGTCGTATTAGGACATATTTCTATAAATGGCATAGTTGGGACAAAGAGTATGTACATTTTAAAGTCTTTTATTAAAAAGAAACACCCCACATATTATCGTGATACCCTAGAGGAAGAGTATTACAATCATAGTTCCATCAACAGTGAATCAAAGTACCAATTTTTCTGAATCTTTATTAAAATCAGCTATTTCTTTACCCATGTCAACGTGCTAGGCAAAAAAGGAATACTTGTTTTAACCTGAGTTTATCAGATCACTGCTTAGGTTGCATTTTTTGGTCAATCATTCACACCTTTGTAAAAATTTCTCATTTATACCCTTTCCCCAATTAAAAAACCTCTGTTCCATTTCTCCTCATTTTTAATTTGCATGTCATAAACACAACACATTTTCTCCCAGCTCTTCACCAACCTTTTAGTTTTGTTTTTGGGTTCTGGGTAAATTTTACTTTCATGCAGCCAAAGCTATTAATCGGTTTTTATGTGTAAATGGTTTTTACCTTCATGTTTAGAAGCCCATCTCCACACCAAGACCACACAAATATTCACCTATATTTAGTTCTTTTCCGATTTCATTTTAACATTTGATTCTTTCAGTTTCCTGCTGAGTAAGACTATTTTACAAATGCGTCTTCCATCTGGAAACTGATTTCCCAACACCATTTACTAATCTTTCCCCCCCACTGATCTGAAATGTTGGTCTATGGAAAGAGGTGCTAATCAGCCACCTGTCCCTAGCTGCACAACCTCAGGAGGACTCACTTCCTGCGACGACTATTTCCCCAAAGCAAAGATCAATTTCTTAAGACTACTAAGTATTTTTCAAGTAATATAAAAGAACTAGACATTAATTTGCCTATATTTAATGATTAATCTCGTAAGTGTATATAGAATCTGTGTGTGCAGGGAGCTCAACCCTAATCATTTATACCATCATTCAGACGTTAAAAAAACCTCTCTCAAGGGTGAGAATTTTCTTATAACATGTGTTACTTAATTCTTCCACATTCTAATTTCACTCATGTTCTCAGGAATATCTTATTTAGGAACACAGGGAATTGTGTCACTAATACTAGAATGCAATACATTACGTGCAAGTAGCCTTGGTGGCTGACTGGGAACCCCAATACCATTTTATAATATTCCTATGGCAAAACATGCCTTGAGCTTCAAAAATGTCTGGAACTCAACCCAGTGGTTTTTGTAAATATGCCAGGAAGATACACTAGCAACGTTTCCACAGACTTACTCTATTTGATAAAGCTGGTTACCATTCTAGAACATGCACATTGGTTTTTGTCCAATTCCACTGAATTACTACTAGGAAAAAATCTAAGTAGACTACCACAAACTTGCCACCCTTTATACTGTCTTTCTCCCTTTCACAAGAAAGGCAGCGGGTTTTCATCTGGCAGACTCAGATCTCACAACCTACTGTTCTCCTGAGCAATAAGCACAGTTCCACTGCAGCTCAAATCCCTCCACAGGAGAACTCTCCCAGCTAAATGACCTGGCCAGAAATGTCAAGAGAATATGCAGTTCTAAGAACGTTTAGTCTTCAATATAGAAAGCACACCCCTACTGGGATGCTTATCAACAATCGCCTACTTTGGGGGGAAGTAGGTTTGGGGAAAGATACCCTACTTTCCAAAGATGAAAAACAGCGTGTCTAAATGAATCCAAAATTAATGTGAATGAAAAATATTACTCTGGCAAAAACTAAAGCGACTGTTTTTGGTACTTAGGGAAAAGGTACCCCTCAAAGCCTTCTTCTGCAGAGTAAAACGCCTCCAATGTTCGCAGTCTCCAAACTACAGGCCTCACTCAGTGCTTGTCTCTATAACCTGCTCCCAGCCCCCTCGCCTGGGATTCTGGTTTCTTCTCCCTGTTAAGCTTCTGCTTTGGCAATTACGTCCAACTCACCTGTTAGACCACCTCCCTGGACTTCTGCTGGGATATGCCCCCAGTATCCCGTGTGGCCTGCTGCATGTGGAAAGGCCAATATTTTTAAAAATTTGCTTGACTACATAAATACATCCACACAATTACACAAATACACTCATTAAAAGATTCACACCATTGGGATGTCCTTGGTGGCACAGCGGTTAAGAACCCGCCTGCCAATGCAGGGGATATGGGTTCGAGCCCTGGTCTGGGAAGATCCCACATGCCACGGAGCAGCCAAGCCCGTGCGCCACAACTACTTAGCCTGCGTGCTACAACTACTGAAGCCTGTGTGCCCAGAGCCTGCGCTCTGAAACAAGAGAAGCCACTGCAATGTGAAGGCTGTGCACCACAACGAAGAGTAACCCCTGCTCAACGCAACTAGAGAAAGCCCGTGCGCAGCAACGAAGACCCAACGCAGCAAAAAATAAATAAAATAAATAAATTCACACCATTTATTAATAAAAGATCCACCCTCATAAATACATGAAAAAAACTAGTCTCCCTTCTCCCCATTGCACTTCTAAGAGGTAACCATTGTTACCAGCTTGGTGGTCCTTCAAAACATTTTCTTGGGGATTTACACACATATATCATTCAAATGGAAATAAACTTGTTATGTAATGGAATCATATTGTATATACATTCTGTACCTTGCTTTTGTTACTCAATAAAGGCCTTGGAATAGTTTCTTGTGCTATATATTGACTCACTTCCATCTTTTATTCCATATTATGGAGTTCCTTGGTTTAGTTAACCTCCCAAAGCAGCTTTATTAATTTACCATCTCCAATAACTACCCATTTCCTCACACCCTTGCCAATGTGGGATATTGAGAATTGTGTAAATTTTTACCAGTGTAACAGGCAAAAATGATATCTCATTATTTTTATTTGCTTTCCTTCAGTTACCAGCAAGGGAATTTTTTTCCCTTGTATATAGGCCTTGTTTGTTTCTTTCATCTGTGAACTGCCTATTCATAATCTCTGTTGTTCTTTGTCAACTGGATTGTCTATTTTATTAATTTGTAGGAATATTTAATGCTTTCTGGATGCTTACATGCTGTAATATTTTCTCCCAGTTGTTGTATCTTACTTATGGTATCTTTTATTAAGAGAGGCTTAAAATTTTCAAGTAGCCAAATTTATTCTTTATAGTTTCTGTTTTTTAAGTCTCATTTCAGGCCTTCCTTACCACTATATTACAAAAATACTATTCTAGTTGGAATTTCTATTTTGCATAGAAGAAGGTTAATAGAGATTTTCCCTACCACCAGATAGCCAACTGTTCCAACATTGTTTACTGAAAAATCCTTAGTGCTTCCTTTATAATGAGCAAATCCTTAAACTCCCCACTCTGTTTCAATATCTTACCGTTAAAATGAGAGCAAGTATGCAACACTGTTTTTCAATTTTAGCTATTCTTGTGTATTTTCTTTTTGATTAATTTTAGAACAGACAAATCTCAAAGTTTCTTTTAGGTTACTTTGGGGGGAATTGAGAACTTTATATCAAGTCACCACATCTAGGAAAACCTTCTCAAAATTAGTCATGTCACGCTACTAGAGTATTTCCTTTTAGCTTTACTTACTATTTAAAAACAGTATATCTATTTTTAATGGCTTCTGGCAATAACTTGCTTAAGTCTTTGACTTGTGGATGATCTATCAATGCCACCTCAAAAACGCAAGAGAATCAAGTGATGAACAATTATAACTAGCTAGTGAGTTTTTCAGGTGCACTGTTCATATTAGCCAGAGCTTTATTTTTTTGTGGCCACGTTGTTCAGCTTGCGGGATCTTAGTCCCCCGACCAGGGATCGAACCCCAGCCCTTGGCAGTGAGAGCGCAGAGTCCTAACCACTGGACCGCCAGGGAATTCCCATATTTTTTTCTCATTTCTTAAGCTGTCATTGGCTTATTTCAGATTGCTTTACCATTATTTAATTTCATGAGGCACACTGAGACCAAAAGACCTTACAGACCCAGCACTGGCCAAGGAGTTGACATCCCAGTAGCAAAGAGTACAACAGCACGCTCCACAAAAAGGAAGGAGGGCACCTGGAAGAAATGCCTGATTCCCAGTGTGGGGCAGGGAAAGCAACAGACACTGGAACACTGTCTTGTGCCAGAAAGTAAGTGTTCAAAGAATGAAGTGATCATGTCAAAAAGACACAGGAGCCAGCCTGAAGGACTCTCATTGGGACAATCTGAACATCAAAATAATAATCATAAAGGCTTACTTATCACCTACTGAATAAAATAGGAATCTCTAAGTTCACACTGATAAGTGGGGGAGAAGGGCAAGCTACCTCTTATGGCAGAAAACCAACTACCAAAGATGGAATGATAAATTTAGAAAATCACCACTGGACGAGACTCAGTGAATGCTGACACTAGTGGAGGGTGAAATGGATATTTATAAGTCACAAAGTATGTTCCCCATAGATACAATTACAAAGAGTAAAACAGTTAACTTTCCAGTGGAGAAACCCAACCAATACCACCTCAAGTCACTTACACAAATGGTCAGGATGTGCCTCTAAGGAGGTTAACTGAGAAAAATAACACTTCCGGTGGTATTTCTGACAAAAGTGTATAATTTGAACCTAATCACGAGGGGAAAAAAAACAAAACAAAACAAAACAAAAAAACCTAAATTAAAAAACAGGCTTCAAAATAAGTGGTCTATGCTCTTCAAAAAATGGTAATGTCACAAATACAAAGCAAGTCTTAGGAACTGTTGCAGATTAAAGGAAACTGAAAAGACGTGACAACTGAAGGCTATGAAAAGACCCGATTTTTTCTTCTTTTGAGTTATGAAGAACATTATTGGAACAAATGGCTAAATCTAAATAAGGTCTAAGCTTAGATTACAGTATATTAACATTAATTTCTTGATTTTGGTAATTACGTATGATCACGTAATGTCCCTGCTTTTAGAAAATACTGCGGTCTCTAGGGGCAAAGGGGCACATACATGCAACTTATTCTCAAACAGTTCAGGGGGAAAAAATATATATATATATTACATTTATTTTATCTCTCTCTTTCTTTCTCTCTCTTTCTTTCTCTCTCTCCCTCTCCACCCCCCTTTCTTTCTTTCTCTCTCTCTCCCCGCTCCTGACCTGTCCTGAGAAAGAAAAGGATAAAACAAATGTAATAAAATGCTAACATTTGGGGAATCTGGATGAGGATATATGAGAATTCCTTGTATTATTCTTGCATCTTTTCTAAGTATGAAATTATGTCTCCTAAAAAAAAGATACGTTGTACATTCATTTTCAAATTTTTGTGTGGATCTATGCTTTCATTTATTTTGGCTAAAGAAACAGGAGTGGAATAATTGGGTTGTATTTTAGTTGAAGTTTCAATTTTGTAAGTATGTGCCAATTTTTTTCCCCAAATAGCATCATTTTACATACTCTACAGCAGTGTATGGGAGTTTGTTTTTCTATATCTTTGCTATTTTAATAGTTGTTTTCTAGCATTTCTAGTCATTTTAATTTTATTTTCTTTGATAGCTAATGACAAGCATTTTTTGATGTGGTCACTGGCCATTTATTTATATTCTCTTGTGAAGTATCTGTTCAAAATTTTGCCAATTATTAAAATGCATTTGATGGTTATTCTAAAAAAAAGAAAGAAATTATATCAAAAGAAACACAGACAACCCAGCAACACAGAATCAGGCAACAGCTTAAAAAGCAAAGATGCTGACTTTGCTTTTCTAGTTAAATTATTTTGCTGATAATTATTTTAAAAGATTCTGCTAAACAAAGTTTTGGTGTGAAACTACTTTGGAGGGATGCTGAGATTACTTGAGGTGTGCTTTCTAGGATTCTGATTAAAATAATCAAATTTCAAACCATTTTGAGTTTGTTCAAACAGGGGAGATGAAAAAACTATTTTCAGTTAAAATCATGATAAAATCTAATAAGATAGTCGTAAATAATTCAGAACTTATAGACTTGCCCTATTAAATATCAATATGTACTGTAAAACTCCAGAATAGAATCACACCAAGCATAAGAAACCAGACACAAAAGAGTTTGTATTGGGAATTCCCTGGCAGTCCAGTGGTTAGGACTCCATGGTCTCACTGCTGAGGGCCCGGGTTCAATCCCTGGTCAGGGAACTAAGACCCCACAAGCCGTGCAGTGCTGCCAACAAAATAAAAAAATTTGTATTAAATGGGTCTATTTCACTTGAAGCTCTAGAACAGGCAAAACTAATCTATGGTCAAAGTAATCACATATTCTCCCCCCCTTCGAGGGACAGGCAGGGACTATAACTGGGCAAGGGCACAAGGAGTCTGATAGGAATGTTCCATATTTTGATCCCTCATTATCTCACATCATATGCAAAAATAAACTCCAAATGAACTCAAAATAAAACCATAAATACCACTCCAAAATGCGGAATGATTTAAAAAATAATAATTTTAAAGCAAAGGACAGCCTTTTAAAATACAACATAAAATCTAGAACCCGTATAAAATGACTGCGTTGCCTGTGTTAAAGATTGAAACTTTAAAGACCAAAACACCACAAACTAGTTAAGTCAAATGAGAGACAGGGAAAAAGCAACTGTGACATTTTACAGAGAGAGAGCCCTCAAGAGTCAATAAGACCAACAACCCAGCAGAAAAACGGGCAAAGGGCATGAAAAGGCAATTCAGAAAATACAGATGGCCAACCATCAGAAACTGTCTAATCTGTGAAGAAATGTAAATGGAAACTTTACCTGTGGAGAAATTCAAATAAATACAATGAAATACTTTTCTTCTATATATAAGACAACATTAAAAAAAAGATAATATTCAGCATTGAGAATTTAAAGAAATTGGCACCCTCTCCCACCCCCTATGCTGCCAGATATTAACCAGTACAGCCTGTTGGAGAGCTATTTGTTAGTAGCTATTTTTAAAATAAAATGCACATATCTTTTGACCCCGGAATTCTACTTCCAATAAGTTAACAAAAACATATTCCTTCAGCAGAGATAGCTCTGGTTCACGGCTGTGCTGAAAACTGGAACAAACCCCAACCGTCTAGTAATAAGACTGACGAGCTCAACTGTGGTACAATCATATGAAGGACTACTCAGCTGTTAAAAGAATGAGTTTTTTTTATTTTCAGCACTATCGAAAAATGTCCTCAACATGCTAAATGAAAAAAAACAAATTAGAGAATATGGTGTGTAGTAGAACCAATTTTTTTAAAGGAAAGACAAAGGCACACAGGGTGTGCGCATCTTTCTGCATTTTTAGATGACTGCAGACACATAGATAAGTCTGGGAAAATATGCCCACACTTTTAATAACGGGTTGCCTCCTGAATGGAAAGGAATTTCAACACTTTACTTAATGCACATTTGTATTTCCAAAGACCTTAACACAAGCATTTCTTCTTCTGTTAAAAAGAAAAAGAAAGCAAAAAGGATATCCACAGGCTCTACTTTTTCCCAGTCTATAACTGTCTTTCTCTGTTGATTTTTCAGCACTCTTTGCCTTGGCAAAAACACTGACTTGGGCAAAACCAAAAATGCTCGATGAACTGTGGACCACAGAGGTGACTTCATTCCAAAGTGAGGTCACTGACTGCTGTTCTCCCAGAGCTTATATACCCCAGAGCATGGTTGATATTGGTGCCAGACATTTCACACCCAATTCTTCACCACTGACCAGGTAAAAATATTTTGTTTTGTTTTGGGGCCTGAGCAATAAAACCTCCAATTACCAAGAGAACTTTCAGGACAGCCCAAATGCCCAGTTTTAGCTCATTCTTTCTTAAAACAGTAGTTGAATGTCACTGAATTCCATTAGTAACTCAATGAATAAATACTAAGCAGGAAGAAAGACAAGGAAGACGCAGCCCCTGTCCTCAACAACCTGATTGTGACACAAGGCAGAATGAAACGTAAGCATTAAAACTCAGGCCATGGCATCACAGAGGACCTAAGGAGAGAAGACCTGCTGTTGGTGGGATCAGAAGTTGTCTCTTGATGAACTAGGACTTGAGTGCAGACAAATGGGGAAGAGGAGTGGGTAGAACATATAAGCTAAGGCCCAGAGAGCCAAGAGAGTAAACCACATGTTTGGGACCTGATTAAAGGTATATGTAACAGAGGAAGGTGGTGTGGGAGGAAGCAGGGAAGGGAAGATTTGGGGCAGATGGTGAAGGTCATTAATGCCACGTGGAATCTGGCTTTTATGCACTATGCAGTTTTCGAAAGCAATGTCTGTAAAAGTGACAACTCTGTTTTGGCCAGGCAGTATTTAAAAGGGAAGTTATTTTGCACAAGTCAGGTCAATAGGAGACTCAAGTAATTCTAAACACTCTCTACTTAAAGAAGGTTAAGAGTCTGGATAAGCAACGGCTGCTGAGAAACCTACAGAAGAAAATAAGTAGAGGTGTAAGTACCTCTTCCATCCTCTGAATTCCCAAGAACCATGGAAACAAAAATACAGTGGAGGGATCTTGAAAGAAAATGCAAACCTTCATTCAAGGTCCTTCTGATTCACAGGGCAGTCCACAAGCACATTAGCAAAAGAAGTCAGTTTTGAAAAACGTTCCTAACATTAGCTATGCTTATAAAATCCTCCATACCTTTGCTGGATCTCTTTGATGTCTTCTTATTTCCTTCAGAGGTAATTTCAATTTCATCAGGATTACCCCCCTCATCTTCAATTGCCTAGAGAGAAGGTAAAAAAAGTTCACCCAAAAAGTTCACCCAGCACACAGATTTGACTTTCACAGAAGCTTCAGGGTGCTGATCTGGAAAGGGCCTCTCCCCACCTGTTCATTCGTTCTTTCTTTTTCTACCAACGTAGAAAAAGCTCTACCAATGTAGAGCAAGCAAGGGCTCTGGATTTAGACGGATTCTACCAGATCTTAGCTGTGTGGTCTCAGGCAGGCTTATTTAATCCCCGTGAATTTATTTTTTACTCTGGAACATGGGGCTAATAAATGTTCTTACCCAGGAAAGCTGTCATGAGAATTCGTATTATCCTTGTAAAGCAAGCACTCACCAAACATTAGGGTTATTTTTAACATTATCACCAAAATCTGACTGATCCTATTCCTGGGCCCAAAAAAACTCAAAAAAGGAAAAGGCACACTCTCTAGTTACCTATGACTTCACTCAACAATGGGCTGTTCAACCCTCCCTGATCCCCTCTCCACGCCACACCTGTACTAGGCACCCTCTGTACAGAATACTAACACTCACTGCCTGAGTTCCTGCTGTGTGTGGCACGGTATGGGATGTGACACGTACTACCTCATCCCTTCACAATCATCTCTGACTGACTCCAGAGGCCTTGCCGTCAACCACTAGGGGGCCTGCTTCATCGGATACAGAATTATAAGGATCTCTTGGCAAGTCCCGCCTCCCCATCCCAAGAGCCTGTCCTTCACTTGAGCAGCCCCCACTTATGCTTTGCACTGTGCCAGGCACCAAGGAGGCACTCAGGAGAAAAAACAACAACAACAAAACAAACAGGACTGAGCGTGTCAATGATGATATCCATAGACACTGGGCTTCACAGTTAGGTTTTACTGAAAACCCTGTTTTTACTGGACTCTCAAACTCTGTTTAAACCCATTTCAAATGTTGTTTTATTTGTAAACAGTTTCAGAAGTCTCGAAGATTATGAGGAGTTTCCTAGCTTGGAAAAGTCTAAATTCAGAATGCAGCGTGGAGGCTCCACATCTAACCTGTACCAGGAACAAAGAAACCTCTCCCTTCTCTCTGAAGCCAGAACCAGAAGGAAGAATTGGAGTTATGCCCTGGCATCAAGGAATGCACAAACATAAAGTCTTTCACTCTCCTCCTGGAGACAGAAGATTCTGGAACATCACCAGGAGAATCCAAAAACTACCCCAGACAGAAGGTGTACCAGTTTGCCCCTCAGTGTGTCTCCTCTAGGTGTAGTGTTCACAGGGTCATCCCTAGGGGGGACCGTAGGCTATGAGTCATCCTTACAGACCTTGCCAAATTACACTTTGTGTTTTGCTTCCACCTTTCCCTCCTTTGCCCTTCCTAAAAAAAAAAAAACTAGATAACGGAAGTACAAGAGAAGAACATCAGTACTTCCAGACTTGCTTGGGCAGGGTAGCAGATGGGTATATATGCTAATGGTATTTATGTATTTTGAGCACATCGCTAAGAAACTGAAAGGAAGGAAGAAGGGATGGGTTTGTCCCCTCAGAGACGTTAGTGATGGAAGATCACACCAGTCTCAACCCCCGCCTGACGGGAAGGTTCAATACCATCCTATCAGCATTGCAGGCTTGTGGACTATCTGGGGGAATAAAGGCTAAAGCCCCGCAATTTGACTTTGTTGATAGGAGGCCTTGTGGCTACTAACAACATGGATCACATGTCCCCGGGTGCCAACCCTCACCCTCCTTGCATCTTCTCCAGGTAAACATCTCAGTGGATGAACCGCCTGCCCCGTCTGGGTCAAGTAAGTTAGTAACCATAGTGAAAGAAAACAGACTCAAGTTAGAAAGGCCCAACTGACTCGGAGCAAATAACTCACTACTCTCAAGCCTGAGTTTCCTCATCCAGGTAATAGGAAATAATCCTTACTTCCTCTAAACAGCAATTAATAAGTAAAACTCTGATCCTCTGTTGTTAGGGAGGCCGGAGAGTAGAATGAGTGACAAACCGCACTGTCTCGGGGCTGGGGGATAGATAACAAGGCTTAGCGAGTACACAGGAGAAGTCCCCATACAAGAGTCGCTAGGCGGCAAAAAGAAAGAAGCCACCAGGACAAGGCAAGCACAGGGGAAGCAGAAGGGCACAAACACTTACTTAACTCCCTGCTCTTCGCAGAACCCTCGAGGTAGGGGGTTAAAACCCCCTGTTTGCAAATACCAAGCGGTGGCACAGAGAAAAAAGTGAAACGTGACAGCGATCGCACCTCGAGTGTTTACATGCGCTGGGCAACACGCCAAGCCCGTTTCATGCCATTTTACTTAATCCTAACGCGAAAACACTATTATTTTCTTCTACTGGACACAAGGAGAAATAGGCCCAGAAGGGATTCAATGTCTTCCACGCTCAAGATCATGCAGATCTGACGGAGCCTTTAGAACCTCCCCAAGTCTATTTCATTTCTGGTGGTTATTACAAATAGCACTTTTCCCTCCAGGCTAAATCCCCAAGCCCGTACTGGCAAATCCCTAAGCCGTTTCCCCATTCCCCCCCGCCCTTTGAGTATTCCCTCGATATGATTACTTTAAAAATTAATCCCCTATTCAAGGGTTCTGGGCCCTAACGGATCAAGAAGCATCTCTCTTCCCAGAGGACGCCCCCGCGGCCGACACGGGCTCAGAAAATCGGCCGGCCTCGGTTCAAATCCCGACCTCCTCACCCCGGCCGAGTGACCTTGGCCGAGTCCCCTAACGCCGCGGAGGAAGCGAGGATTTCAGGGTTCCGCGACCACTTTCAGAGGCCGGAATGCAACCAACCGAAGAAAGCCCTTGAAAAGCAGGAGCTGATGCGGATAACACAAGCACTCGGCCGATGTTCCCGTCACCCGCAACCTCCCCCGTTCGCGTCGAGATTTTCTTTTTCTTGTTCTCGCCCCGATGCGGCGCTGGGCCCGGCGGGGCTCGAAGCTCCCGCCGGGGCCTGGGAGGAGCCGGGAGAAGCCCGGGGCGCCAGGCCCGGCGCAGGCCGCAAACGGGGCCGGGGGCGGACCCCGACGCCAGAAGGCCCCCGTCGCGGCCGCGAGGGTCCCCCGACCCACCTCCTGCCCACCCCCAGAGCCCCGGCTCTACCTTTTTAAGCCGCTCCATCAAAACGCTCTTGTTGCCGCTCGAGTCCAGGTTCCGTTTCCTCAGCTCCGCCCGCAGATCGATCACCCTCAAGTCGCTGAGGCGCCGCGTCCCGGTCTCCGACGAGGCGGAGCTCAGAGCCGCTGCGCCCGCCGCACCCGAATCGCCTAGGCCTGACAGAGTCTCCGCCATTCCAGGGACCCTGGCTCCGCCGCCCACTTCACAGAAAACCGGGCCGGATTTATCTCGGCTCCCAGCACAAAATGGCGCCGCTTGCGAAGAAACCGCTCCAGCCGCCCCGGCGCGCCTCGCTTCTGCGCAGGCGTACACGGCGTGGGTTCGACGCTCCCGGTCGCGTCTGCCCATGCGTGGTGAGAGCCTTGGGCGGGAGGGAGCGGTGTGTGTGGTGAGGGGGGATACGCGCAGGCGCGTGTCGTCTCGCCGGCCTCCCGCCGCGAACTGCCTGGACACATGCGTACTGCGGTTACGGCGCCTGCGCGTTGTGGCTGGACACGTGCGGTTGGTTGGCGCGCGAGCCCACTTGCTGCTAAGAGCCCTGATCCGGGCGGCGCGCATGCGCGGCCGGAAAACGGGGCGGGAGGAAGGGAGTGCGTTTTCCTCTCAGGCGGCGCCATTTTGTGCTCAGAGAAGCTACACCCGCCGGCGGTGTGTGGAATAGGTGGCAGAGACGGGAAACCCGGGATGGCGGAGACTCTGGCAGGGTCCGGTGACTCGGGTTCTGGCACAGCCGCTGTCGTCTCGGGCGCCTCAGAGGTCGGGACGCGGCGGCTCAGTGACTTGCGGGTGATCGATTTGCGGGCGGAGCTGAAGAAGCGGAACCTGGACACGGGCGGCAACAAGAGCGTCCTGATGGAGCGGCTCAAGAAGGTGAGGCGGCCCGGGGCCCCGGGGTGGCGCCTGAGGCCGGGGCACGCCCCCGCGCGGGCCTGTCACCGTGACTCCCCCGGGCGGGGCGCCCCCGGTCCGCTTCTCTCGTGGCCGATCCCGGCCCGAGCTGTCAGGCCCCTGGGGCTCCGGCTGTGTGACCTTGGCCCGTCACCGCCCCTCGCTGTGCTTTGCCTCCCCCTTTCCCTCCTGTCGGTCGCCTCCGGTGCGCTGAAAGCCCGTTTTAGCCGCAGGGTGGCCCCTGGACTCTTCCCGGGGCTGTGTGACCTTGGACAAGTGCCGTCCCCTCCCCGCGCCTCAGTTTTGTCCCCTGCGGAGCGGATGATTGAAGAGCCTTTGATGTTTCCCAGGAAGGGCGGGGGGACTGTGCTTGTTCTTGCCTCAGGACCTTTGCTCTTAGCGTGCCTTCCACCTGGCTGCTCGTCTCCCAGGTCTCCATCTGGCTGGGGCTTTGTTGTCATTTTGGGTCTGTCTGAGACGTCGCCACCCTGCCCACCCTTCCTAAGTGTTGTTCCACCTCCGTGACTCCCTGTGTCGCACCATTCTGTTTCTTGTCCCACCTCGTAGCACTTAACACAGAGTTGGGTACCGGGAGTTGGGGGGAGGTGTCATCTCCTTGATGGGAACAGGCTCTTGAGGGTAGGGCCCTTGTGAGTTGAGCGCGGAGTCCCCAAGCACGCGAAAGGCACTGTCGCCTGGAACCACCATCTGCCCTCTACCCAGTTCGTTCAGTGTTCTTCCTCCGCCGAGGTCAAAGGTGGCCTGTCGAACAGCACGCAGCCCTCTCTGCCCATGCCAGACCAAGTGCAGCCTCTCTTGTGTGTTGCATCGTTGACTTAAAGTGGAGGTAGTTTGGAGGTTAGGGACCATTTCGGGACTCGTCACAGACTCTGTGGAGCCCCATCTCACACATCTCTTTGTCTTTTGGGTGGGGGGGGGGCCTCTGCGGAGAGAACCGAGTGTCGCTGGGTTCTTCCTGTGGCTTTGGGGCTGGCAGCCCACATAACCAGAACCAGAGTTGCTCTTTGCCAGAAAAGGTTTGCGCTTGTTCGCTGGGAAGTTGTTACCTAGGAAGAACAGTGTCTGTCCTGCAGCTCTTAGCCACGTTGCAAAATTTGTCTCTTCCCAATAGGCGGTTAAGGAAGAAGGTCAAGATCCTGATGAAATTGGCGTCGCGTTGGAAGCCACAAGCAAGAGGACGACAAAGAAATGCGTTAAAGGTATCCGCTTGAACTTGTTGCTGCTTGAGGCCTCTGCCTTGAGAGGACTTCCGTAGAGGACTGGTGGTTTAGCATTCTTCCTGCCCTCCAGGTCGGGAGAGCGGCCCTTATTATTCTCCGTCTAACAGTTAGGCTTGCTTTTCCACCACCTCATGTGTAAGGATGTCAGGGTGCTGGGGAGGAGTAAAGAGATTTGTAGGTGCCAGGTAAAATTAAAATACGTACTGAAAACCTCATGGTTCTTGTCGTTGGGATTAAAAAAGAACTAGAGTAAGTCACTCTCTGGAAGCTGCCCCAACTGGTCTGAGCAACCAAATGCACCTGCTTGGCTTCCTTCCTAGTTCAAAAAACTACGCCTTAAACCAAGGAAAATGACACCAACCAGAGATCCAACAGAACCCAACTTCTCTGGGGTCCAGAATAGATTGTCGGAGTATTTGCACCCAGCCCATTTTAACACTTATTTTTTTTTTTAATCAAGATATAATTCACATACTGTAAAATTCTCATATTATTTAAAGTGTATAATGCTCTGCTTTTCAGTATATTTACAAGGGTATGCAACCATCACCACTCTCTAATTCTAAAATATTTTCATCACCCCAAGAGAAATCCCCCATGCCCATTAGCAGTCAGTTCCCATGTCCGCCGCCCGCCCCCCCTCCCCGGCAATATCTAATTGAGGTTTTTTTCTCTAAGGATTGCCTATTCTGGACATTTCATATAAATAGAATCATATAACATGTGGCTTCTTGTGTCTGTTATCTTTCACTGAGCATAATGTTTTTAAGGTTTATCCATGGTGTAACATACATCAGTGCTCCATTTTTTATGGCTGATAGCACTTATTTTGGGGAGGATTTAATTCCATAAAACTTCAGAACCTCATTAGCTGTCGCTCTCATTATCGGATTTTATTGTGGTAAGGACAGTGTAATTTGAAACTCCCACATGACAGGCTTATTTTCTTGAAGGTTGCTGCACAAAAATTCTCACAGCTGTATGTGTCCCATTCATCTAAAGAAGTGCTCAATTCAGGCAATGGGAGACAGCTGCTTAGAAAGTAAAATGAAATGACCTTGTAGCATTTTCAACAACTTCAGTTTATGTTTTTAACAGCTGTTTTAGCAGAACAACTTTTCCAGAACTCATCTAACTGTTTAAATCTTGTGCACGTGTTTTGAAAAGTTAAATTTTTGAGTTAGGTTACATAAGGAATTGAAGTCTAAAACATTGGTGTGTGTTTACTGCTTGTGAAACTGTCCGTATTTCAGCTATAAACACTGACCGTCCAAACAAATACAGATCGTGAGGGATGGGTCTGTAGCAGGAAACATACAAATACCTCTTTGTACTTTGCCATCAAGTCACCAGTGATCTGAAAGTTTGGTTTTGAATAGTTGACACAACTTGATAATCGTTTAGAACTTTTTTTGTGTAGATGCTCATTTAAAACCGTGAGGTTCAAGCCCTACTAATCAAAACGTTCTTGGCTTCTATGGGGATCTTTGAATCATTAGAAAAACTAAACCTGAGCTGAGTGCTTCAAATAGACGTCTGAATGTCTGGGTTAAAGCATAAGTCAAATCAAAGCTACTTGGAGTTTGCATTTTGTCAGAAAAGCCTCGATAATAGTTACTTCCATTGGTGTAAAGAGAGTGTTTGTACCAGTACAGGTAGCTGTTGCTGGGATTTCGGATTTAAAAGGCACTGGTCCCTTCCCCTTCAAGGAAGAAGCAGGTGGGTGAGGTCCTGGGGCAGAGGATAGCTCCTGCAAATTGTAGAGTTGGTGTGTCCTTTGGAGGCGTGTGGGCACATGGTTAATTATATGAAGTGATAGGTCCTCATGGTGGCCTGGTTGAAATTAGGTCCTTGAGATTAATAGGAATCAACCAGTTGGTTTCCAGAGTCTGCCACAAAGTTGGACTAAATCTGAGAATTCATGAGTAACCACTGCCTTTCAAAAGTGAAAAAAGTAGCTGAACTTTTTAAGTTTCATTGTAAGTAGGAACAGGGGTCCTTTACCCAGCTCATCTAAATGCGCAAAATTGCTGAAAACTGTGGGTGCGTTTTGAAAGATTAAAATTTTGAATTAGGTTACATTTGGGGTTAAAATTTGATTTTCTGGTGTCTGTGCCTGTCTGCTGTCCCGTTCCCCTCCACCCTTCAGCTTTTAGTCAGCCAAGAGCAGGCCCTTGGGATTTGGGTGTAGCCTGTCTGCCCAGCATTTGTCTCATTGTCACTCCCACTTAGGGTGCTTTTTGATGAGGCTTTTTGGACTGCCTCTCTTCTATTTACATTCTTTGTGGGTACTGCAGGCTACTATTTGAGGCCTAGAAATTGGGTGCAATTATCAAACATTTTTAAACAGCGTATTTTAAAAGGATATTCAGGGTTTAGATATAATGGGAGGTGGTACAGCTGAGTTTTTGAGTCGCAGCTTTGGAGCAGAGCGAAATTCTTGCATCAAATTCAGATAATAAACCTGCTAGCATTGTGGGGAGTATTAAATAATGCGAAGAGCACGGTGCCCAACGTGTAATAAAACTATATTTTTTGAGTAATCACTGATAATGGCAAACGAGATAACAAGTGTAGACATTGCAGTTGGCATCTTTAATCAAAGATTGAGGTTTCTTCAGACTCACAGAGAGAACAGACTTGTGGTTGGGGGGCGGAGGAGGTTAGGGGAGGGATGGAATGGGAGTTTGGGGTTAATAGATGCAGTGTATTATATACAGGATGGATGAACAACAGGTCCTAACGTATAGCCCAGGGAGCTGTATGCAATGTCCTGTGATAAACCATAATGGAAAAGAATATGAAAAAGAAGGTATATGTATAACTGAATCACTTTGCTGTTACAGCAAAATCAATAAATCAACTAAACTTCAATAAAATAAAGATTGAGGTTTCTTGCGTTTAATTTTCTTTTTTTAAAAAAATTATAGAAGTGAAAATGAAAGTAGCTCTTACTGCTCAGTGTTTTAACTGCAGTTGATGGATTGCTTTAGCCATATCCATTTGTATGTTCTACCACTGCGTCTTCACACTTGCGTGTATAAAATATCCACGTGCATTTTAATGAGTAGATCTATGTGGTAACTTTGTGGACATTTTTCCATATCATTAAATGGTCTTTAAAGGCATAATTTTTTCTTTTTCAAGTTGCAAAGTGTGTGGTATGCCACAGGGTTTTGCAGACTCGGCACTGTTGGCGATTTGAATTGAGTGCTTTGTGGTAGGGTGCTGTCCTGTGTGTTACCGTGTGCTGCACAGCATCCCTGGCCACTGTCCACTACATGCTAGTAGCACTGCCAGTCATAACACCAAAATGTCTTCAAACATCGCCGCACTACAGCCCACGCCCGCCCTGACTCCCCATAGTGGCATCCCACATTTGAGCATAACATGCCATAATTTGCTTCCCTTTGGGATATTTAGTCTGTATGCACTCCATAGAATAAGTAACCTTTGTTTTGAATTCCTTGTCAGACATTTTAGTGCACATCCTAAGGGGAATTCCAGGATAAAGGTATGTATATTTTTAAGGCTGTTGTTACATAGGGAGCCCAAAGATTTTACCTTTCTGAGTCTAGAAGTTTCCACTCTCCTTCCCTTCCAGCCCCATTAAGAATATCTAACATAACTCTCAATAGTCCCTTTGCGTTCACAGAACTCAGGGTGAAAATTGACTTTATGGTAGCCTTTGCCTTTTTGCCTTGAGCAAAAAAAGAGTTCCTGGGCTGAAGAATGACGGAAGGCAGGGGGCCTGCTTACAGTGGGTGGAGTGAAGGGGAACCAGCAGGTCCGTCGTTGGGCTCGCTCTCTTAGGTTGCAGTTCTTTGGGTGCTATATGGACATTACATTTTTTAATTTACTCATTGGGAAATGCCTATGTTTATCCTTTGCTCATTTTTCTTTAGGGATGTTAGTCTTAGTTTGGAGTGGTTTTGAAATCTTTTGAAGCTTTTGAATATTTTGTGCAAAGTCAAAATACTTTGATAGTGTTACAGAAATCCTAGATTTTTATGTTCCAGTTGAGACAGAACTATACATGATAGAAGAACAGGCACATTTAGCTTCCCTATAACATGTTCTCACCAAGATTGAGCTGTGTCATCCTGCATAAACTAATTATGAGGCCAGAACCTGAATGTTGTCTGATTGAAAAATTATTCTGTAATTAGGACAAAAGACGGAGGAGGAAGGCACAGAAGACAATGGCCTGGAAGAAGATTCCAGAGACGGGCAGGTATGTGGCATCACAGCCGAGATGGCGGCAGGAGCTCCGCATTCTGGTCCACCTGGTCGCTGACACCTTTCGTTCCTCATTAACAGGAGGACATGGAAGCAAGTTTGGAGAGTTTGCAGAATATTGACATGATGGACGTTAACGTGTTAGAAGAAACCGAAGTCGAGAATAGCGGTGCTCCAGACTTCGGGGAGGATGGCGCTGACAGCATTCTCGAGTCCCTATGCGAGAGCAAAGACTACGTGGCTGTGCAGCTGAGGGAGCTCCCAGCTCAGTTCACAGGACACTCTGTAGGTAACGCAGATGCAGTACAGCGCGCTGCAGCCCTGGGGCTCCTCGCTGCTTATGTGCTCTTTGTCAGAGCCAGAGCACGCAGCTAAATCACCAGTCACCATAAACAAACACTTAATTCGGTGTCTAAACCTTGAGGTAAATTATATCCATTTAAACTCCACATAGGTCAGATGTTAATTAACGGATAACTTTTCTGTATGTTGGAGGATATTTTTATAATTGGGTAGGAGACACTTCTCTTAGCATAAGTTATAGAATGAGAGGTTGACACTGTTGATAAAAAGTATTTTCCTTAAAAAGAAAAAAGGTTTAAAAAAAACTATAGAAAGGTAAGAAAAAACCAGTTCATAATCTCGCCATCCAGATAATCCTGTTGATATTTTAAAGATGTATTCCATATATAAATTTAGACAGTTATATTAAAAGATGTGAAATACAGTGAAGAAAAGTATTTGTCCCCCCAGAATAACCCCTCCAATTAAAGGAATCCACTATTAACTTCTTGTGTATAAGGGAGGGCTTTAATTCTGTTGCCGGTGTCGCTTTCCCAGCTTCTCACTTGTCATCTGTTGCCATAGAGCTCTCTCGTAGCCCTCCTAGAACTTATTGCCAGTTTAATCTCACCACCTTGGCGTGCCCAGCCATCTTAGTTTGGTTTTATTTAAGGCATTCTAGCTTTAAATTGGAAGGAAAAGTGCCCTTGTAGGACTGAACTTTAAACCTTAAAGGTCAAAAGTCACAAATTTCACCGTTATCACCACAGCTCAGCCTAGGCTAGGCAGTGAGCTTTGATTTGTCCTCTCAGTGAGATTCTGTTGTGTGTGAATTATTTCCATAGAATGGACTTGGCTTCTAACTTCTTGGTTAATGGAAACATCCAAACCCAGAAAAAGAGGAAAGTACGTGGGGAGGAGTATTTTTATATTTCACTTGAAAAGTTAAAAGGTTTTCTAACTTAATAACCTTTAGGATACCAGGTTTTTTTTGTATAGTAGATAATAAAAAGAGAAAACAGTCAAGTTAAATGTTTGTTTTATACAAAGTACTCTAGAAGAAAGTGCCCAGTTATTGTTATTTTATCTTTTTTTTTTTTTTTTTTTTTTTTTTGGCCAAGCTGCGTGGTTTGCGGGATCTTAGTTCCCTGACCAGGGATCAAACCCGTGCCCTTGGCACTGAAAGTGTGGAGTCCTAACCACTGGACTGCCAGGGAATTCCCTATTGTTATTTGAAAAGCATCACTACCAAGTGAAATCGGAGGAGTGCAAAACTTCATTTTCCTTTTGAGTTCAGCTTTGGAAATTCTGTGGCTGGGTGGTGTATGCTGACCACCAGTGTGTGGAAACTGCCTGGGAAATGAATTTGCTCGTTCATTCATTTGGCCAGTGTGGACAGAGCGCCAGCCCTCTGTGAGCCTCTGTCAGAGTTGCTGGTACCACCTAGTCCTGGAGTGGGCCTGGGGGCCGGGAGGCAGGTGATAAACTGAATACTGTAGCCCCCCCCCCCCCCACTTACCCATGGATTTGCTTTCTGAGGTTTCAGTTACCCACAGTCAGCCGGGTCTAAAAATATTAAATGAAATAAACAATTCCTAAGTTTTTAATCGCATACCGTTCTGAGTAGCGTGCGAAACCTTGCGCCATCCTGCCGGGACGGGAATTATCCCTTTGTCCAGTTATCCATGCTATATATGTTACCTGCCTGCCAGTGTAGGAAAAAACACAGTGTATGTGGGGTCTGGCGCTGGCTGAAGTTTTAGACATCTATTGGGGCTTTGGGAGCATATCCCTTGTGGGTAAGGGGGGGCTGCTGTGATTCAGCAGTGGGCTTGCAGATGGCGGTAGGCATTGTGCAGGAAATAGATGTGTAGGTGGCCTGGAAACTGGTGAGGTGTAGGCCTTGGCATTCATAATTCTGTCTCCACAAAGTAGTCTTGCATTTTGTCTTTCAGGTAGACGGGGAGGGCTTTGAGAACACTTTGGATGCTTCATCATTGGACTTCAAAGTGCCTCCGGTAGGTTACTACCTGGTTCTGTGGCTGGAAAGCTGACATGAGTGGTTAATTTTCCATAGTGGAAAAGAGTGTGAGTGTGGGTGTGTGAACAATTCATTGAGCATCGGTCCTGAGCTGGGTGCTGGAGATAAGAGGTTGAGCCAAATTGTCAGTGTCAGGGTTTGCAGCCTAGTGGGCGTGGTGTTTATGACCAGTGAGTGTAACTAGAAAGTGAAGTTTGGGTGATTGAGTTACAAAACCATGAGAGGGCTTCCCAGAGGAAGTCCTTTGTGTTCAAATTGAGGTCTGACAGGCCAGTCGAGGTAGCCAGGTGAAGGGGAAGAAGACTCTGGGGCAGGAGGGGGTGGTGCGTTGTAGGGATGGAGAACGCAGGGCGGGGGTGGGGCTGCAGAGACAGGTGGGTCTGACTGCCAGTGTCCAGGAGCCTTTGTCTTCTGTCCAGGGGGAGTTAGGGAGAGGTGTTCAGCAGAGTGGAGAAGTCTTTCGTTGATACAGTTCTGCGTTGGGAGAAATACATTTTTTTCAAATCCGGTGTGATGTGTAAAGCAGCGGCCACGTGTGTGACCTCTGCCTGGACCATGGGAGTCGTTGCCAGCTGCAGAGCCCAACTCCAAGGGGGGAATGGGATGGGCTAATATTATTGCTACCTGTCTGCTTTTGCTGGGGAGAAACCAACACAGTGAACTTGTCATTGAATTATTGTAGAATGGAATACTTTGTTTTGAGTGGAGAAACTTGTTTGGAACAAGCATTTATTCATACTTGATTGAAAGTTGTATCTGCTAGGGGAATCTGTCCGATTTTTAAAGTGCTTTGTGGATTTTCTTTGTCTTTCCTTTTCAATAGGATATTGAAGAACCTCTATTGGAGCCAGGTACTGATAAGAGAGACACAACAGTTATGGTTTGAAAGTTTTCCCACTGTATTTTTTAAGCTGTCTATATATTTTAAGTTGTTTATGGTGTTGTAAATTATTTTAATGGTGGACAATCCAGATCGTACAAGGATCAGAGATTGGAAACCCATTCATATCACCAGATCTGTGGAAGTACCGTTCTGGTTTCTGGAGGTCAAATACATTTGGTGAGATGTAGTGATTACTTTCATCTCTCTAACCACGTACAGTGGCATTTAAGTAATTCCCCCCAACCCCACGATTCTTCCATGTGTTTCTACACATGAAACAGATCTTGTGATATTTGCTGCAGTCATTTTGATTAATGCAGTTAAGGCAGGATAAAGCGGTGGTCAGGGCACTTATAGCCTGAGAAGTGACTGGATTCCAGAAGAGGAAACAGTTTTCTTCATGAGAATTTCCAACGTGTTGTTCCCCTTCCGGACTGCGTTTATCTCCTGCCGGCGGAAGTTTCTGGTTTTCCTGTTGGACTGTTCCGTTCAAAGAATTTCAAAGAAATTTGGAAATTGAGCTGTCCTTGAATGGTGGTTGCGTTCGATTGAACACCTTGGACATTGGAAAAATAAGTCGAAGACCCAGACTTGAACAGAAGCATGAAGACTGTCGAGAAGCAGCCACACGGTTGTAGGTGTTTAAACCTGTGGGGCCTTTTCTCTTCCATGTAGCGTAGAGGCTTGCTCTCGCAGGCGGTTGGAGCGCAGGTAGTGTAACCAGTGTAACTTTGTGTACCCGCGGGTTTTCCAATCTCTGTGTAGCTAGCAGTTCTCTTCGTGTTAGTGTGGCAGCCGTGCCAGTTCCACATTTGTGATTGCTTTATTTCCCTGGTAATTAAACCTTGTGCCATTCTATTCCTGTTAAATCCGTAGAAAATGAGAAAATACTCGACATTTTGGGGGAAACTTGTAAATCTGAGCCAGTAAAAGAAGAAGGTTCCGAGCTGGAGCAGCCATTTGCACAGGAAACAAGTAGCGTGGGGCCAGACAGAAAGCTTGCGGAGGAAGAGGACCTTTTTGACAGCGCCCATCCGGAGGAGGGTGATTTAGATTTGGCCAGCGAGTCAACAGCACAAGCTCAGTCGAGCAAGGCAGACACCCTGTTAGCGGTAGTGAAAAGGGAGCCCGTGGAGCAGACAGGCGATGGCGAGAGGACGGACTGTGAGCCTGTAGGGCTAGAGAAGCCAGTTGAGCAGAGTAGTAAAGCCTCAGAGCACACGGAAGCCTGTAGCGAGGAGGCCTCGGAAGCGCCCCCGGAAGCCTCAAGCCCAGACCCCAGGGATAGCAAAGAAGACGTGAAGAAGTTTGCTTTTGAAGCTTGTAATGAAGTCCCTCCGGCTCCTAAAGAGTCCTCAGCCAGTGAGGGCGCTGATCAGAAAATGAGGTTTGTTTTTTCTCAGTTTTAGACCAGACGCTATCTCCTTTTCATTGGTCGTTTAATGACACACATAAGCTGTTGTTTCTGCAATTGGCCAGCCAGACTGATGCAATTGTAGTTTACTTCTAAAGTTTTATTTCTCTTTGTGTATTTTTAATGGGTGATTTCAATTCCTTTTGTTTTTCTCAACCTACTCTGGTTGTGCTCTTAAATTGTTAAGTGTTATCTTCAGCTAAATCGAATTGACTTTTAAGAATCTGCCATTGTATTTGGGGGGTCAGATTGCCAATATAAGCTTGTAAAGGTGCTGTTAAAATTTTATTTCAGACTAATTTTCTGGTAGGTATTCAGTTTTAGCACATATCATACTTTGATTTAGTTGTCTTTCATTTTATTCCTGTACGAGTAACATTAACTTTTGTCTCTAGCTCTTTTAAGGAAGAAAAAGATATAAAGCCAATCATTAAAGATGAAAAAGGTATGATTTAATTTACATGGCAGGGAGCCATCTACGGATCCCTTATTTTGGGAGGGAGGGGCCTGCAAGTATCCACAGTTTGGATACAGTAGTTGGTTTTATTATGGATTACTGGAATTAATCATCTAATGGTATCTTGAGAGACTAGTTTTAAATGTTGATGAGCTTCTGTATTTTATGCCTTTGTTGTGATTATTGCTTATGGAATAGTTAAAGTCCTATTACAGGACAGGTCCACCTATGGAATAATAGAATTTTAGAAAATGCTATCTTGGTTGAGAGCTGATCATTGAAGCCATTTCAGTTTGTAACTGACAAGACGTGATGATTCCTCGAGTAAGAAAACTCAGTGTCTGTGATCCAGATTTTTCGTCTTCTGTCCAGTTTGTTGGCAGTAATTAAATTCTTGACTTAGAGGAGTCGAGACTGGATTTAATCAGGGTTTAAGAGAGGGCTACATCTTAGGAGGAGTGGTCGAGCTTACTGTTATGCCTTGAGGTAAAGCATAATCATCTCCCTCCTGCTTCAGGTCGAATCAGCAGTAGTTCTGGAAGGAATCTGTGGGTCAGTGGACTGTCTTCCACAACTCGAGCGACAGATCTGAAGAACCTTTTCAGCAAATACGGAAAGGTACACTCCCTTTGACTTTCTGTCATTGTGCCTTGATTCGGCATTAAAATATAATAAATCTAAGAGTTTAGAAACTTCATACTCGCTGTTAATTGTATTGGTTCTTGTTTCTGGTTGGGGGAAAACAAACAAGAACCAAAACTCCAAGGTGGGGGACCCAGCCAGTGGTGGGTAGTAAGCCTTGTTTCCTGGTTGAGAGTGGATGGCAGGCAGAGTAGACAGCTTGTAGAACGCTGCTCAGAGAAGGTATGTAAAAGCTACAGTCTACGTGTCCCTGCTGTGCTTCCAACTTCTCTTGAACAAACTATCTTTTAGCCAGTACAAAACTTGAAGCTGGCATGATGAGGTTTATTCCCTTAACGGTAAGTGAAGAGTTGGTCTCCATGTATCGTCTACCATTTAAAGTATATAGTTTGAGAATTGGAACAGGACAGTGGCTTAAAAATGAATCAACTGGGGACTTCCCTGGCGGTCCAGTGGTTAGGACTCCACCGCTTTCACTGCCCGGGGCGTGGGTTTGATCCCTGGTTGGGGAACTAAGATCCCACAAGCCACGTGACCAAAAATTAAAAAAAAATAAAGTTAATTAAAAAATTTTTTTTTAAATATATCAACTGATATATTGGTCACGGGAGCAGGAGGAAAGTAATACAGTTCAGAAGCCTTCTGAGGAACATTTAAGAATGATCCTGTTGTCTTGGAACTAGGTAGTGAAATAGTCTTATCAGAAGCCGTAACGACTGCCCTGGCCTGCTGGGGGCCTGTGGGGAGTGACCCTCGGGAGAGAAGTAGGCGAGGTACCGCTCAGCGGCAGCAAGTTGCAGGGATTCCAGGCAGAGGTTTGGCATCTGTGTCATCCTGGCTGCCCAGGTCATTCCTTGGCTCAGGTCCTTGTTCCCCAATTAAGTGTTAGTGAAGGGATTAGGGAATGAGCAGACAGGACCCAGAAGAAGCATTCCAAAGGGTGTAGAACACTATTAAGCCCTAACCTATTCACTCACTTATTTAGAATCAGGCACTGATTGTAAAGCCAAAGCAAACAGATACAAGGGTATTGACATCATAGATCTTACATTGGTGGAAGATCGCTTAAGAAATAAATACATAACGTGTTATGATAAGTATATTGAAGGTTACAGTGTGCCATCAGTGTGTGGTAGGAAGGCCTGATTTAGATTTGGGAAGTAGGTTCAGCAGTCGTCGCTGAGGAAGTGACATTTAGGCCAAGGGCTGCGTGATTAGTTTGCCTGGCCCTCGGAGCTCAGCTCTGGACCAGAGCAACAGGACCTAGGAAGGCCCCGCAGCGGGGCAAGGCTCTGGAAGTGGATGAGCAGACAAAGGCTTCTGTGAGGAGCTTGATAGTAGGGGATGGGAAGCAGGGAAAGGGCACAGACAGGAACATGGGAGCTTTTTGTGGTATCTGCTCTCACTTAGGTTTATCTGTCATCGGAAGTGATGCCCTTATAAAGATAATGTTTGATGGAAAGGTCAAATGACCCCATGATTAGCTCAGCCCTCTCATTGAGGAGAGGGAAGAAGGCAAAGCTTCGTCTCTGATATGCGAACTGACATCTGTATCCATCTCAGCAGAGGCTCTGGCCCTGTATGGGATGCTTTGGACAGATCGGGGCTTTCTTCAGGCAGAAGTGAAAATGTCAAAGTCTGCAGGGATCCTAGGGAGCATGTATCCCCCTCACCATCTCACAGTTGGGTACACTGAGGTCCAGAGAGAGGAGAGCACTTGTTCACGTTGACCCACTGAGTTCAGAGGAGGTCACAGCCAGAAGCCATGGCTCCCGTGCCTCAGGCTTTTTGTATATCCTAATCCTCACGTCTTTGTCCTCTGGGAACGTTTGCACTTAACGGAAGCACTGGTATGGTAGGGTTTAAATCTGTGCTCTTGCTCTGTGTTTTGTATATGTCCTGTTTCTTCTTGGATTCCTTGTACCTGATTGCTTTTTTCTTTTTGATATGGACCATTTTTAAAGTCTTCATTGAATTTGTTACTGTATTGTTTCTGTTTTATGTTTTGGTTTTTTGGCTGCGAGGCATGTGGGATTTTAGCTCCCTGACCAGGGATCGAACCCACACCCCCGATTTGGAAGGTGAAGTCTGTTTTTAAAACATTTTAAAATTTTTAGGTGTTTTTAAATTTATTTTTGGCTGTGTTGGGTCTTCGTTGCTGCGCGTGGGCTTTTCTCTAGTTGTGGCAAGTGGGGGCTACTCTTCATTGTGGTGTGTGGGCTTATTGTGGTGGCTTCTCTTGTTGCAGAGCACAGGCTCTAGGTGCGCAGGCTTCAGTAGTTGCAGCACGCGGGCTTAGTTGCTCCGCGGCTTGTGGGATCTTCTCAGACCAGCAATCAAATCTGTGTCCCCGGCGTTGGCAGGTGGATTCTTAACCACGGAGCCAGCAGGGGAGTCCCTGGAAGGCGAAGTCTTAACCACTGGACTGCCAGGGAAGTCCCTGTTTATCTGCTTGATTTTGCATTGCATAGTTTTTTTTATGATTTGTGCCTTACTAGCTATATCTAGTCTATGTAACTAGTTTCTATTTTAGTTCCTTGAGGTGTAAACTTGGGTTGTTTATTGGAGATTTTTCTTATTTCTTGATGTAGGCATTTATTTCTGTGAACTTTCCCCTTAGATTGCTTTTGCTGCATCTCATAAATTTTGGTGTGTTGTATTTCCAGGTTCGTTTGTCTCGAGGTGTTATTTGATTTATCACAGTCTATCTCCCAGTGACTTCATTATACCAGTTCCCAAGTAGTATGAGAGCCTTACAGCAGTGCACTGCCATTTTCTCCTCCAGGCTTTGTGACGTTATCTTACGTTTTACTTCTATTTAATAAAGCACACGGTGCATTATTGGCTTTTTTTTGGTGAGTTGTTTTTAAAGAAAAGTGGGTTTTTAGTTACTCATGTGTATTTACCATTTTGGGGTGCTCTTTTCTTCCTTTTTGTTTGTCCACGTTCTCCCTGGGTATTGTTTTCCTTCCTCCTTAAACATGTCTTGTAGTGCAGCATTGTGGACGGTGAATTCTCATGGCATATGCATGCCTGAGAAAGCTGTTGCTTTGCCTTTGTCTTGCTGGGTATAGAATTCAAGGTTGGCTGCTCTCCTCCAGGTGGCACAGCCACTCTGCTCCTTCTCACTTGCGTCCTCTCCAGCCAGCCGGCTGTCATTCTCACCTTTGCTCCTTAGTGTCCGTGCGTCTTGTCTTCCTCTGGCTGCCTTCACGATTTCTCTTTACCACCAGTTAAGTTTGCTGCTGCTGCGCTTTGGTCTCGTTGGCGAAGTTTTTTTCCTGTGCTCCGTGCCCATGAGGACATATTGCTGTTGCTCTGGTTCGTTTTTGTTTTTTCTTAGTTTCATTTCAAATGGTTTTTCTTACTACCTCTTCAAGTTCCCTAATTTTTTCTTTTGTCTTGTCTGTCCTCAGGCCCATCTGGTGTAGTCTTTTTCAGAAATTCGGTTTGGGTATTTTTAAACATCTTCCATGTGCTTACCTGACGTGCTCAGTTGTTGCTCTGCCTTCTGGAACGTACAGGATACGGCCCTCCTTGTTCACTAGTTCTGTCATTGTGACATTTCTATTGACTTTGTCCTTTTCTGTGCTAGAGCCCTGTTTTCCTGCTCCTTGGCTAGCTAGCCTCATTGTCTTTGATGCCACGTGATAACTTTCACCTTGTTGGGTGCTGGTCCTTCCTGTGTCCCCATAAATGTTTTTGCGCATTTGCTGGGTCACAGTTCAGTCACTTGCTCCTTCTGAGGCTTGTTGTTAGGCTTCACCAGTCAGGCTAGGGCAGCCTTTAACTCTGGCCAGCTTTGTCCACTCCTGAGTACTCGGCCTCATGTCCCCGGGAATTACAGGCTCTTCCACTCTGGCTGGTGGGGTCACTCTGGTAACAGTGAACCGTTTATGGTCCTGAGTGGGCCCAGGGGATTGTTCCCTCTGCCCGTTACTGGTGGGTGTCTGTCTAGCCTGGGTGGTCACCTCACACAAGTGCACGGTTGTGGGCAGCCCTCTCCTCTGTGGTATTCTGATTGCTTGCTGCCTTCATCTCCTCTGACTCTGAGCTCTGTCTGTTCAGGGATGCTGCCCCTCACTCCCTCCTCCCTGTTGCTGGCTGGAACTTCTAGGTGGTGTGCCAGGGCAGTCATAGGAGACACCCCTTGGGCGTTACCCCCTTGCAGGGGTCACCATCCTATGCGGCCTGCTGTCCAGTGTCTGAAAACCCTTGTTGCCCACATTTCCTCCGGGTTTTTAGTTTCAGGCGGCAGGAGGGTAACTGCTTGGTACTCTGTCCTGGCTGGAAGCGGAAGCCCTCTCTGCATCACATCAGAGCTGTTCTCAGCCCGGACGTGCACGAATTGGGGTGCATTTCTGAGTCAGCATCCCCGTAGCTTTCCATGGGAACAGTCGAATTGGAGAAAAAGGTCTGAGTGGGAAGGACTTTTGATTAATTAACAGGTCGTGGTTAATGAAGTCTGTCTTTAGCTTTTCTTGTTTGTATTTTGTCACTGTGAGGGCTAATCTTAAAAGCAGTTGTATTTTGATAGGTCAGGATTTATTGGAATCACTTTAATAACTTGTTACGAAGAACAACAATTTCCAGAGCCGTAAAAACAAGTGGAAATGATTCTGATGATCAGTTAACTGCTAGCAGTTCTTGATACGTAATGTGGTTATTTGCATGAGAAAATAAGAGTACCCTTTTCTCACAAAGGTTGTTGGAGCCAAAGTGGTGACCAATGCCCGCAGTCCCGGGGCCCGATGCTACGGGTTTGTCACCATGTCAACGTCCGATGAGGCCACAAAGTGTATCAGCCATCTCCACAGAACTGAGCTTCATGGAAGAATGATCTCTGTTGAGAAGGTGAGGCTGTTCTTGCTGCTGTAACTCAGAGCTCACAGGCCAGAAGACCTGGTCCCTAACCTGTTTCTGTCTGTGTTGTATTTTAGGCCAAAAACGAACCTGCTGGGAAAAAGCTGTCTGACAGAAAAGAATGTGAAGTGAAGAAGGAAAAATTGTCTAATGTTGACAGACATCATTCTGTGGAGATCAAAGTTGAAAAGTAAAGTGCTTTTTTAAAACCTTTCTCTTCAGAGGAGGGCAGGTGGCAGCCACAGGGTCACCAGCTCCTTATTTACATCTTGGGTGGTTTTTGGCATCTTGCTGCCGCTTAGTATTTATGTCCAAGCAAGTTAGTAATCTGTTGAAAAAATAACACAGACTGAAAGATGTTTGAACAACACAGGTTTGAACTGCTCAGGTCCGCTCACACGGGCAGTTTTTACAGGAGTAAATACTACAGTACTACAGGTGCAGAGTTGGTTGAACCTGCAGGTGTGGAACCGCGGATAGGGAGAGCCGATTATGAAGTTCCATGTGGATTTTCGACTGTGGAGGGTCGGCTCCCCAATCCCCATGCTTTTCAAGGGTCAGCTGTATTTTTACTTCATTCTTGACATTCTGAGCTCTTGCATGGCCTCTCAAACCCTGGAATCATTTCCTGGTCCACATTGATCCTTGTGCATCTTGTATTTTATCACAGCAACTGCAGAAGCCCAGCTTTGCAAAGACAGTTTCATCCAAAGGAATGTAGCCTGATCTAATATCGAAACGAGTGACCACAAGCTAGTAGTTGACGTGTTGTCTGGCAGATAGTATTTCTTTGTTTCCCTCAGAAATTTAAAATATCCCAGGGCAGTTGTGAGTTCACCCATCCTGGTGTACCTTGGCACCATAGTTTGGGAACCACAGGTCTGAGAGACTACCTTTATAAAGGAGGTGATTTGCATCTTTAATCAAGATGAAAACAGGGACAGATCTTTCAAAAGCAAGCATTTCCCATTGATACTTTTATCAAAATTGTAGGTTTATCTTTTTTGAGAAGGTAGACTTTGTTGACGGGCCTGACAGGGTGCTATTCTCAGAATGCATAGTTTATGTTGAGTTTGTATTGTCAGCACAGATTATTTTCATTTCTAGGTCCACTCACACCCTAAAAATTGAATCTTGCTGAGAATGTCAGTCTCACTGTAATTCAGTTTTTGTTTTTTTTTAAACGTAAGAAAATTTATAGTTAAATAAACATGACTGTGGGCATTACATTCATAAGTTAAACTTGGTTTTTGTTTTTGTTTTTGTTTTCTGCGGTATGCGGGCCTCTCACTGTTGTGGCCTCTCCCGTTGTGGAGCACAGGCTCCGGACGCGCAGGCTCAGCGGCCATGGCTCACGGGCCTAGCCGCTCCGCGGCATGTGGGATCTTCCCGGACCGGGGCACGAACCCGTGTCCCCTGCATCGGCAGGCGGACTCTCAACCACTGCGCCATCAGGGAAGCCCTAAACTTGGTTTTTAAAGATGTACTTAGCCATCTTCGTTGTAGCCAAATTGGAATTTGTAAACCCAGGAGAAATGCATGTCAGATTAGCTTTTTTGTATTTAGGGGTGAGATCGTAATTTTATTGGCAGCTTCTCCAAAGAGACACATCCTGTTGGTAGTGCTAAAAACCTGTACTGGGGGAACATGGGGAGCTCTTGGGAGTTCTTGGTATTCTTAGCACCTTGAGATGCATTTCATATGTTGATTTTCTGATCACAAAAGTGAGATATGTTTATGGGGAAAGGAAGGGGGTGTAATCACTAGTTAGCGTGTGTGGTTTCCGCAGCCCCTGGAACGATGCTGTGAGGTCTGTGCTCTGTGTGGAAGGAGAGACAGCTCAGAAAGGAGCAGCGCCGGGCCTGAGGCGAGCAGGGGGTGGCTACCCCAGCGCAGGGCTGCTTAACTGGGTGATGAGCTTAAAATGAAACCAGACTGCTTTCAAGTGGTTTGTGTAGGAGGCTGAGCGTTTTAAAGTTCGTTTTTAATCTTACTCTCTTCTTCATTGAACACCCTCATTTGACCTTTTGTGGGGTTTTTTTTTGGCTGCATTGGGTCTTCGTTGCTGCGTGGGCTTTCTCCAGTTGCGGAGAGCGGGGGCTACCCTTTGTTGTGGTGTGTGGGTTTCTCATTGCGGTGGCTTCTCTTATTGCGGAGCACAGGCTCTAGGCGCGTGGGCTTCAGTAGTTGTGGCATGTGAGCTCAGTAGTTATGGCTCACAGGCTCTAGAGCACAGGCTCAGTAGTTGTGGCTCATGGGCTTAGTTGCTCCGCGGCATGTGGGATCTTCTTGGACCAGGACTCGAACCTGTGTCCCCTGCATTGGCAGGGGGATTCTTAACCACTGCGCCACTGGGGATGTCCCTGACCTTTTGTTTTTAAGAATTTCTAGGTTTGGTAGTCAGCTTAAGTGACATAGAGAAGCTTTTCCTAAAGAGGTTGCTTGTCTTGGATGAGTTTTTATGTAATTGCCATTTGGAAAGCACACACAGATGTCAAGCATAATCCCACTACCCAGGGCTGACACTTTTGGTATCTATTTTTCTGGTCTTTTTTTCCCTATGTATATATTTTTTAGAAATTGCTTTTTAGGGAGTTCCCTGGCAGTCTAGTGGTTAGGTCTCTGTGCTTTCACTGCCGAGGGCCCAGGTTCAAACCCTGGTTGGGGAATTAAGATCCTATAAGCTGCATGGCGCAGCAAAAAAAAAGAAGAAAGAAATTGGTTTTTAACTTAATTAGTGTTATCAAGAAGTCCATTTGTGTCTAGGAGTCCAGAACAAGTAGGAAGGGTCTCCTCTCAAGACATTTTGTAAGGCTACTGGGAGGGAGAGGGTGCTGCCCTGGAACAGTGGGAAAGGCACGTCAGAGATGGTTTCTGGGGTTTATTTGCAGTCAGGTGGTGAGCAGAAGCAGTCTCTAATCTGTCAGAAGAGAAGCGGGTAAATAACAGTGGGCTGTGGTTCAGCAGTCAAAAGGACCCAGATCTGTGCGTGTGTCCACACAGCCCAACCGGCAGGGCATGCGGTGAAAGGCATTGTAGAGCAGCACACGAGGACTGTCTCACTGTGTCAGTCTTAAGAAACCTAGAGCATCACTGTAGGGCATCATGGTTACGGGAATATGCGAGTGAAGCCAGGAGAGGTGGAGCCACACAATTGACAGTAAAGGCACTGGTGGTGGCTGTCACAGGGATGGAGACTGTCATAGGGGTGGCTGTGTCCAGAGTGTTTTGTGTCGTAAAGGGAAAGCAGTATGTTACAAACATTTACAGTTTTCAGTTCTGATAGACACCATCGGTTATTATTTTGTTTCATTTTGAAATTGAATATTTCTCAAAATAGATACAGTTTTAAAGCGTCATGCTGTGGAAGTTTAGGAGGGAGGAAGTGTGAGCTGAGGGGCATCTGGGAGAGGTTTCCTCGGCCATCCCGAGCTCTGCCTGGGTGGTGGGAAGAGAGGGCAGGTGGTGCTTGTTAGCGGACCCCATAGGGCCTGGATTTCCCATCCTGGACCCTGGCATGCAATGGGCATTTTGTAAGTGTGGAGTTTAACTCCGGGGACAAGCAGCAGTAGGGAATGTGGGAGACACGTTTGAATGGCAGCGACGATTTGTTTGACTGCTTAGCATGAGACTGCCTTCAGTTGAAATGGCACCAGCAGTTTCCATATTTGCTGGCACCTCACGTGCCATTTTGCCTCCCCCAAAGCGTGCGGAAATTACCAGGTGCGGTGGGGGGGGGTGGTCTGGGTGGGGGGCCCAGGGCTTCCTGCAGCAGGCACCGCCCTTCCTTGTACTGTATCTCCATTCTGTTTTATACTCTGCTTTTCGGAAAAAGTGTTTTTCCCTATAAAACTTAAAAGTAATATTCTACACATACAAGATGAAACATTTGAAGTTAGTTTTTAACAAGCTTTCCTGTATAATTGGAGTGTTTCTCATGTCTGCTTCTGGGCCTGTTTACACACTGGTACATCTGGCATTTTGGGGAGACACCCCACGAGCCTGTAGTTTCATCTGGCATGTTTTTAGATGTGGCAGGTAACTTAAGTGGGAAGGGGCTGTATCTAAAGAGGGTATTATCATTACCACAGTTTTCAATTAATTTTTTCCCTCCAACTGGCAGCGGGCGGGTTTGCTTTGTGTAGAAGTCTGAGTGTGAGCTACTCCTGTGAGAATCTCAGGACCTCAAGTGTGATCACCATGTTTCTAAACAGAACTGTAATTAAGAAGGAAGAGAAGATGGAGAAGAAGGAGGAAAGAAAACCTGAAAACATTAAAAAGGAAGAAAAAGATGAAGATGAGCTGAAACCAGGAGCAGCCAATCGGTCCCGAGTCACCAGATCAGGTGATGAGAGTCTGTGGAGTGTTCACGAGAAGGGAAAAGGCGGCAAGGGCGGCAGGCGGGTTGCATGGAGTGAGGGCCCAGCAGGATTGGTGCCTTTTGCTGAGCTGTTCTGTGTGCAGGAAGCTCTTAGAGGACAGCCTCCGGTGATGAAATGGCCAAAAGGGGTTTCTCCACAACATCAGAAATCTGTAGTTTTTCTGGTCGGGATCTGTGTTTATTGGTGGCTCAGTGACCTGGGTGTTGGCTTTTCCTGAGTCTCCGGTAGAATAGAATGTGGGATTTGCAGGAGCGAGGTGTCCTGGTTCCTGTGACTAATTCCATGCAGTTCTGCACATATGTCATCGAGTTTTTCCTGCATTTGTGTTAAAATCAGATAAAGTAAAAAAAAAAAAGAAAAAGAAAAAAATGTAGAGAAAACTAAAACTTCAGAGCATCTATACCCATTATAAAAGTTTATTGTGCAATGCACCTTCAGGTTTGCATGAGACTCCACAGAAAGTTTTGTGGGGAAAAGTGAAACCAGTGCGCTCCCCCCACACACACACATGCCCTCCACGCCCTTTAAAACAGAAACAACCCAACCCTCTGGAACCTTGGAATTTGGTACGGCACATTACAAGTTACATCTCAAGTGTTTGGAGTAATTTACCAGCAGTCTCAAGAGCACCGTGTTTTTAAAATGTTCCTTCAGTATTGTAAATCTCCGTAAATCAGTAATTGTTCTGGTGGTTAGAGCCTGCTTACCATTTCATTGAGGGGAAAATCAGTTTGGAAGCCTTTATTGCAGTAGATGAATGAGGAGAGCCCACCTGTCTCGCGGGGCCCTCCGAGCTGGCAGGCCATGTCTGACTCAGCACAGGGGCCTGGGTTTTGCAGAGCTCTCCAGAACCTGTGGGAGGAATGCACCTCGAAGTGCATGATCCCTGGAGCCACTGGGGTTTAGCGTGGGGGTGAAGGAGGCCTGAGTGTGGGACGTGTTTGTGCCCACGTTGCAGAATGCAGTTTAATTCCCGTTTACGCCGTAAGGTGTGAACAGATCACACCACTTCATTCCAGACGAGCAAAGGCCTGTTGGGGTGCCCCGTCCACCTCAGACCTGCTGTTGCCATGTGGGCGTCACTGACCTCACATCACAGAGGGGAGAGAGATGGGGCGCCGAGGCTCCAGAGCTTATCAGCAGTCATTGGAGGGCGTGTCCAGAGCCCCCGGTTGGTGGGGCTGCTGCCTGCGGTCAGGAGCTGGGGGGGGTCAGCATGATTTCGTAAGTGGCTGTGTTTTCTCCTGAAGGAAGCAGAGGCATGGAACGAACAGTTGTGATGGATAAATCGAAAGGGGAGCCTGTCATTAGTGTGAAAACCACAAGCAGGTCAAAGGAGAGAGTAAGTATCGCTTCTGCCCTCTCAAGTCTAGCTAGTTCTGATGGTGGTTTAACAACCACTCGGATTTGCAGTATAAGAACAACGTTGTTTCACCTTTGAAGTGTTAAGAAAAAGAACTCAAAAGGCGTATTAACTATTTAGAGTCTATGTACAGGCACGAACTAGGTTCTGAAACTTATTTCAAAACAATACTTAACTGTGTTTGCTCCCCATAAATGTGTTGACCCTTTGCCGGTCCTGTTAGGTTATAGGTTATACTGTTTTCTAGAAGGAGAATTGATTCACAAGTTGGATGGAATGGGCAAGACCCAGGGCTTGTCAAGTTGGAAGGCAGGTTCTACTCTTTGGTTAATCTAATAGTACTTTATTTATTTTCTTTAGTTTTTCTAGTCTCCTATTAAATTAACCAAAAAGAAAAGTAGAGTCCACCCTAAAACTGTCTTCCATGTTATCAGAGAATGAGCTCCATCGCTTCTGTGGGCCATGCTGCTGGACAAGCTGGTTGCTTGTCCATTTGCTGCTTCTACTCTGGAAAACAAAGCCCTCTGCATCCAGCTGAAGGTTCTAACTAAGAGGTTAATGAGAGTAATGCTGTGTTAGTGAGTGCAGAGCTAACAGTATTCATCCAAGAACACTTTGTGGTCTTGACACTTAATTTTGAAATGAACATTTGGGTTCTATAAAGCAGCAGTTCCTAATGCTGTTTTTCCTCTGGGCTATAGGAAAATCATAAAATACAGAGAAATCTAGAGAAGAAAACCCAAAAAGGCCTATAATGTTACCACCCAAATAACTCTGATGTTAAAAAAGTAACTAATAACGCAGGCCTGATTAGAACATACATGTAGTATAGAAAGATACAAGGTAAGCGAAGCAGAAGCCTGTGCTCTGCATGGGCTCCCCTCAAAGGGCATTACACATGCGGCACATGTGTCTACACTCTGAAACACCATGGGGAAAGGGTCTTCCCATAACTTGGCTGCTGTACACCTCTTTGTATGTGATGTCTTGGAGAGCTTTGTGTATTGAGACATACAGTTCTGCTTTTTCTACTTTTAAAAAAATGTTTTTAAAATTTGAAATAATTACAGATTCACAGGAAATTGAGGCCCAGGAACCCGTCACCTGGTTTCATCCAGTGGCTCCATCTCGTGTAACCGTGTAGCACAGTCACAGAGCCAGGAGGGTGGCATAGAGGGTGTGAACAGTGCTAGGACATTTTGTCACCCGTGTAGATTTGTGTCCCATCACCACAGTCCAGATGCAGAACTAGTCCATCAGCACAAAGATCTCCTCCTTGGTATCCCTTTATTGTCACACCCACCCCACCAGCCCATCCCCAGCGCCGGGAAACCTCTAACCTGTCTTACATTACCAGCATGTTGTCGTTGTGAGCAAGTGTATAAATGGAATCGTGCAACCGTGACCTTGAGATTGGCCTTTTCCCTCAGCGTGATGTCCCTGAAATCCATCCAGGTGGTGGTGTGTGTCCTTTTCCTTGTAAAGCTCGTATCATTTCAGCTTACGGATGCACCTTGATCATTTTTAACCAGTCCCCTGGTGACGGACGTTTGGTTGTTTCCACATCCCCTATTGAAAATGGCTGTAGTGCAACATTTGCGTGCACGCCTGTTGGCAGTGTTGGTCCAAAGCCGCCAGGATGTTGTTCATTGTGATAGATACTATCAGAGTGCCCTTCAGAAAGGTTATAGAGGATACTTAGGTTCACTGAGTGTGTAGCGTGTGCTGGGCTGCTAGGAAGTGGCCGAGGCCAGGCTTGAACTTGGAGTCGGATTCGGCACCTCCACTGCCATGCTGGCCTCCCCAGAAGATCACATCCGTACCTCGGAACATAGGGCATCTGCCCTTCCTCACTCCAGTCTGCAGTGTGTGTGATCAGACTCTCAACTCTGCCCATCTTGAGGGTAATGGCGATGTTTTGGGTTGCAGATCTGTCCCTGTAATGAGGGTGTCCTCTGTGTCCCCCTCCTTTGCCTATCTTTCTTTTGGATTGCTTTGTCTTTCATTGACGTTTTTGCCCCTTAGTGAGCGAATTAAGAAAATAAGCTGAGGAGCTTTTGAATAGTGTCTCCCAGGCCCCCCTTCCCTGGAGATTCTGAGGTGGCGGGTCTGCAGGAGGCCCTGGGTTCTGAGCTACGTAAAAACTTCTGGGAGAGTCTGCTTGTGGGCAGTTTGGGAGTCCCAGCCTTTGAGAGCCTCAGAAATGGGTATTGGCTGTCATTGTTTCCTGTCTTCTCCCAGAAATGTAAGAGCATAGAAGTTGCCCACTGGTACTTTCTGCCTTACTGGCAGTGCTGTTTTACATTCAAGTGCCTTTGGTTGGTTCTTTTTTGAGGCCACATGCCTGAGGCCTGAGCCAATAGCTGAGAAGTGAAAAACGCAGCCCCTCGTCCAGCTGTCTGTCTAGACAGCTGCTTCGACAGCTTCCCCAGTGAACGAAGGGGTCGCTGCGGGCATCGAGTGCACATGGCCTGTGCCTCTGGGGAGCCTCGTTTTGCTTTAGATAATGCAGAGCGCTTGGCTCTGCTGCTGCAGAAAAACTGCTGAGGTTTCACCCCACCTTTTCTCTGCCATTAATGCCCTTTGAAAGCAAGACTCTAGCAGCGTAACTCAGATGGCGGTGTGAGGTGGCCTGTGCTGGGGCCTCCCTGTAAACTACGTGGGATTGAAGGATCTTAGTCTAGTCCAGATGTGCATACTCCACTTGCGTCGTGCATCTGTCGTCAGCATTTTCCTAACATTAATAAACCAATTTTGGTAAACAGAGCTCAAAGAGTCAGGATCGCAAATCGGAAAGCAAAGAGAAGAGAGACATCTTGTCCTTTGACAAAATCAAAGAGCAAAGGGAACGAGAGCGCCAGAGGCAGCGGGAACGGGAAATCCGAGAGACAGAGAGGCGGCGGTGAGTGGGGGCCGAGCGAGGCCAGCGGGTCCGTGGTCTCCTCTTGGGAGGGTTGCTCTTCCTCCTAAGCGAGTCGCCTGTGTGGCTGTGGCTCACTGGCCTCCTAGTGTGTTTCCTCTGAGAGCGAAAGGCGGGGGCGTTCACACTGGCCCATGGTAGTCCCGTGACATTTCATCAGAGCCCGTTTCTGCTCAGCAGCATCTCCTCTGGCTGAAGTTGCACCCTGGACCAGGTAGCAAGCGGACCCACGCTGCCTGTGGCTTTGGTAGAAGGGTCTCCAGGGTTGAGGCCTCAGTTTTTGCCGCCAAACCCTTCCACGTGAATTAGATCAACATGGCAGCCCAGGAACAGGCTGGCCTGTTAGAGCTGTGATTCACATCTTTGCTCCTGAGACGTCTGCGTTTCGTGGCGTTTTCAGGCAGCAGCGGTCCCACAGCGATTCTGTGCTCCTTTGCTGAGGAGATGGTTTGTTGAAGCAGGCTTATCATTTCCATTTTCGCTTTCTGCCATTTCACACCAGGTTGTCTAGAGCTCCCTCGTCATTTTCCCTTAAACGTCACCCAGTGAAGTTGTGATACTGCAGTGTTTGGGAAACTTTCTTGAGCTAAGGCAGATCATGTAGAAACTTCTCCAGTTTGCTTTTCCAAAACAGTGTGATTTCAGCCTCTGCATATGGGGTTTAGCAAGTAAAAATTTCTTGATCATTTGGAGATGTTTTGCTTCCAGCTGGCTTGCCCTTGGTTTGGACCTTTCCCAGGCACCGTGGGAGGGTGTGAAGAGAGCAGAACGGGTTTCCCCAGTCCCCGCTCAGCTCCTGGTGTGTGGTGGCTGATAAATGAGACCACCGTCCCCTTCGCTGGTGACTGGCCTTCTCCTTTCCCCACCCCCTCTTAGGTCCCTTCAAAATGACGTGCTTATTAAAAATACAGCCTTGGGCTTCCCTGGTGGCGCAGTGGTTGAGAGTTCGCCTGCTGATGCAGGGGACGCGGGTTCGTGCCCCAGTCCGGGAAGATCCCACATGCCGTGGAGCGGCTGGGCCCGTGAGCCATGGCCGCTGAGCCTGCGCGTCTGGAGCCTGTGCTCCGCAACGGGAGAGGCCACAACAGTGAGAGGCCCGCGTACCGCAAAAAAAAAAAAAAAAAATACAGCCTTGTATAGGGGAGGGGTGACAAAAAGACAGTGTTGATTGTCCCTCTTCAGGGAAAGCTACTGTCATCCGTATCTCCAGGGTTTTCTCCGTGCCCAGCAGCTTCAGAGTGGCAATTATCCTTTGCTTTTCTTACTTTCCTGACCTTTATTTAGCTATGGCTTTGTTTTGGTGCTCTTTGAGCCAGGTCCTCCTGGTCTGGACCTGAGGCTCTGTGTCTGCTTGCCATCACCCCCTCCCTCCCAGCTCACCACAGCTTTGCTGTTTGGAGAAAGGGAAAGTGTGGAGATTGGGGTTTCTGGCCGATCGAGCAGCTTAGGGAGCTGGTTAGTGCCTGCCGCCTAGTAGCTGGCAGGGGGCAGCCAGGCCCGGGGCGAGCCAGTTCCCATCCGGGAGCTGGAAGGTTCCAGACTCCTTCGGAGGACGACGTCTCGATGGCCGGGCGCCGCCACGTCGGGAAGTCAGGGCGGCCTTCCTGTGTTCCCCCAGAGAGCGTGAGCAGCGTGAGAGGGAGCAGCGCCTCGACGCCCTCCACGAGGGGAAGGAGAAGGCTCGGCTGCAGCGGGAGCGCCTGCAGCTCGAGCGCCAGCGGCAACGGTTGGAGCGGGAGCGGCTGGAACGGGAGCGGCTGGAACGGGAGCGCGAGCGCGTGGAGCGGGAGCGCCGGAAGGAGCAGGAGCGCATCCAGCGGGAGCGCGAGGAGCTGCGGCACCAGCAGGAGCAGTTGCGCTACGAGCAGGAGCGGCGGTCGGTGCTCAGGAGGCCCTACGACGTTGGGCGGTAAGGCCCCCGGCCCGGGGCGGGGCGACGGGGCGCTGCTCCTGACGTTGAAAGAGCCACCCCGCTCCTGTCCACCTTAGTGTAGGGAGTCGGAGGTGTTTCAGACAGAAACTGGGCCTCTGGACGCTTGGGCAAGGCTCCTTGCTGCCACCTCTGTGGCCAATGCAGCGTTTTTTCCCCACCCGAGTTATTCTTCAGAGAATCTTGATTGTTGCCACTTGCTGAAGGGTTTGATGCTTTCGCCTAGGCCGTCCTGCTATTCGCACTGTGGCTCCTGGTGGAGCATGACCACTGTCTAGTGGGTAGGAGACAACCAAGCATGTGTTATGCCGCATTCACTGCCGTCTCCGTCAGGCTCGTGTGTCCTCCTAGAGGGAGAGGCTGGGTGCTGTGGAGAAGGAGATTGCCTTCCCACTCAGAAAGTAGGTTTATTGCTCTCCAGCTTCTCTGAGCGGCTTAATTGATGGTCACCCATCACCCCACCACCTGTGAGCCTAATTTTCTGGTAAAAATCAGGAAGAAGATAATTGGATGCCATCCCGAGTTGTATATAGTTTGCCATCACCCGATCTAATTCCCTTTGCTTCTGCAAAAGCTCAGAGGGAGGTTCAGGTTAGCATAGCAGACGAGGAGGTGAGAACGTGGTGACTCGGAACCTCATTCCAGGAGAATCAAAGATTTCATTGCACTTGCATCTGAGCTCATGTGGGGATCAAGGTATTAACAGCCTTGTGACACAATTAGCTCACAGCGGTTCTTTTTTCAGGATTGTCAGATGAGAATGCCAGTATGCCTTTTGGCAGTTTGGGGGATTTTAATTTATCAAATCAAAGCGATAATGATTGAATGTTTAGATTTTAGCCCTGCGGGACATTTTAAATGATACTGGGTCTGGAGAGAGAGCTCCCCTCCCCACTTCTGCCCTCTTTCTTTTTATCCTCATTCTCTTTCATAAATGAAATTTGCATTCTTTTTAAAATAAAAAAACAGGCGAGATGACGCCTATTGGCCAGAGGGAAAGCGCATGGCCATGGAGGACAGATATCGCCCAGACTTCCCTCGGCCCGATCACCGTTTCCACGACTTTGACCACCGTGACCGGGGCCAGTACCAGGAGCACGTGGCTGACAGGTCAGTGCCCCACCCCACTCCTGCAGCAGGGATCGGTCTCCGTCTGTTCTCTTAATGTCTGGTGCACTCGTGAGGTTCCTAGTGGGTGCCTCTGACCGTCACACGTGGGATTTAGAAACAGACCTTGAGCAGGACGTTGGGATCGGTGGTCATGTACGGCATCCTGGCTTTGTCTAGGGGGAAGGCACTTCGGAGCACGTTTCATGCACTGTCCTCTTAGAACAGATGGGCCCTGGGCAGGACCTGAACCTTGGCTTCCCCCATGCTCAGCTCTCTTGGGGGTGGCCCCGGGCTCTGGGTTTCACAGCTCCCTGTGGGGTCTCCATGGCCACACTTCCTCCCTGTCCCTCCCACTGGCACAAGCTGCTCTGGAGCACCGGGCTTTGAGGAGCGTGTGGCCCGGCCTCCTTGTTCACACAGATGAGAAAGCAGTTTAGAGAAAGGCCATGACCCGCCTGAGCAATCTGCGGGGGTCACTGACTGGCATGGGGTTGTGCCAGCCCACGTGAAGAGAGCTGACTGCGGAATGTGGCAGAGGTCCTGTTAGGCCTACTTTGTGTTTCGAGGGTCTGGGTGGGTTATTTTTCTTTTGCCAGTGCCTTTTTAATGAAGACTATATCTCGTTTTTTAGAAAAGCAGCCCTCGATTTTTCCAGTTTAAGAATTCTCTCTTTAGGTTTCTCATCATGCTCCCCTGAGCTGCATATCCTTGAGCCATTTCCCTGCTCATTAGCTCTGGGAAGGAAGAGTTGGGGGGGGGGGGAAGACAGGCTGAGAAGCAGCTCGTTTAATTAATTATGGCTGGAATTGGTTTCAGATGTGGCGTAAGTCATGTGTGTTGGGTCAGACTAGAGGTTAGGGACCTGCCGAAGCTTATTACCTGATTTGTCATCAGGCCACAGATAAAATTATAGGCATTAGCTTCATGGTGTGGGTCTCTACTTCTGAGACCCCTCTAAGGGATTTTAGTTCAGTAAAACCTTCGTTCCCACCTTCTTAGGATCCCACTTCACTCCTACCCCCAGAGAAAGCTGTGAGGCAGTTTTTTTTCAGGCCAGTAAATTACAGTTCTCATGTGGTAAAAGGGGATAAGTACTCTAATTGTGGAACTCTTCTGTGTGGTCTGCAGCAGTGTTGTGTAGAGCCATCAGGTGCCTTTGGAATGAGACATTTCTTTTTTGCAGGAGGGAAGGTTCAAGGTCAGTGATGGGAGAGCGAGATGGGCAGGTGAGTAAAAGCCAGATAGCAGGCCGGGGCGTGCCTGCTTCTGTGGGGTGGGTGGGGCGTGGAGATGTCAGTTCTGGCCGGTGAGTAGATGTGCACAGAAATGATTGGTTAGTGAGTCTGTGTTTTGTATTTTATTTATTTATTTATTTATTTTATTTTTAGTCTGCATTGGGTCTTCATTGCTGTGAAGTAGCGGGGGCTACTCTTTATTGCGGTGCGCGGGCTTCTCATTGCGGTGGCTTCTCTTGTTGTGGAGCATGGGCTCTAGGCATGCGGGCTTCAGTAGTTATGGTGCGTGGGCTCAGTAGCTGTGGCTCACAGGCTCTAGAACGCAGGCTCAGTAGTTGTGGCACACAGGCTTAGTTGCTCCACAGCATGTGGGATCTTCCCGGACCAGGGCTTGAACCCATGTCCCATGCATTAGCAGGCAGATTCTTAACCACTGCGCCACTAGGGAAGTCTCGAATCTGGAGTCTGTTTTTTAACACAGGTAGGGCTTGTTTTTCGTTTTATTCAGTAGAAACTAATTGAAGAGATACTTGGTTGCCTACATGTTTGGAGTGCCTTGAGTCTAGGCACTGTGGGATGCCCCAGCGGGGGCTTAGTGGCCTGTTAGGGGGTCATTTAGGTCATGTTTTGGGGCATTCCTCTGTGTCGGGTACTGGGATGGGTCCCCGTGTCTGATAGTCTGCAGGTTCCCTGTGAGAGGTGCCTAGGGTGTCAGCTCAGAGAACAGAGGAGGCCTCCACGAGAAAGGTGGGGGACGGCATCAGAATCATGGCTTTTTAAAACAGGGGTGTGGGTTTTGAGAGAGTGCTATATTCTCTCTTGCTCCCCAGGTGTGCTGGCTTCCTGAGCACTGACTTGGTTGGCCAGGGGTACTAAGCCGTTCCTGCCTTCAGTACTTGCCTCCAGGCCTCCACAGTAGTATGAGCAGAGAGGGCTCTGAGGGCGCTGGCCTGCCCTAGGGGTGTGGGGAGGGCCCTCCTGTCTCCAGCAAGGAGCAGGTGCCCTGACTCTTCAGGGAAGGCGGGTCTGAGTGACTCTTCTCAGTGGACCCCGAAGCATGGGGCTCTCCACGCTCATGGGTGGGAGGGCCCGCTGCTGGCCCTTCGTGTGGCACCAGTGATGGAGCTTTAGCGGCGCTTGGGGTTCTCAAGGAGGGGGTCAGGAAGTGCCCGAAGGGGCCTGGGCAGGTCCTCGTGGGTGGCTGGGGTGCTGAGCCACACCCCAGCGCGCTGAGGCAGGGTCTGCAGGTTTCCGAGACCCAGAAGGTAGACCTGCCGCGAGCTTGTCTGGGAGCCATGTGACTGGAGTCGCCCTGTCCCTCTTGTGCCTTCCAGCACTACTCAGACGACCGCCACGGCCACGGAGGACCACCAGAGCGCCATGGCCGCGACTCCCGAGACGGCTGGGGTGGCTACGGCTCCGACAAGAGAATGAGCGAGGGCCGGGGGCTGCCTCCTCCCCCCAGGTTAGCGGGCAGGCCACAGAGGGGCTGGGCATCACTGTCCTCACCGGGTGACAGGTTGGCTTCTCTGAAAGTGAACTGGGCGTGTGTACGTGCCAGGTCGCCTGGAACAGCTCCTCCTGGCCCTGTGTGGGCTCTGCCTGCTGAAGGCGGCAGCCCTGAAGCCGTCTAAGGCTTGTCCCCATCAGTAGTAGAGAAGCTTTACCCCACCCCACCCCTGAAGTTGTCTTTAGGTGTTTGTAAGGCCGGTGTCACGGCTACCACAAGTTTCTGCTGCACCTCTAGGTGGGTTTTCGGGTGTTGATCAAAGACTGGAGTGCCAGTGTGATAGATGAGAGTGTTCTTTCCTGAGCGACCTACTTAGCACTGGGTCCTTTCATGTCATTTAGTGCTATTTGCGTTAAGTTTAAATGGGCGAGCTCCTGCACTGACAACAGGCTGCACTGTGCAGCGTCACCGTGTGACTGGGGGGCTGTCACCTGAGACCATAGGCGTTGCACGCACTGAGGTGCACTCACCCTTGCAGACAGGTGTGGGGGGTCTGCTGGCTTCCTGGTCCTGGGCCTCGGAGTGGTGGTCACCGGCGGGCAGTGCCCTCGTCCTTCCACACCCAGCCTGGGGCCGGGAGGCTTTCCTGTAGGCCTCCAGGGGCTGTTGGCACCTGCACGTGGGTACCGTGTTTGGATTTTCATCTCCCGGGGTTTCTGTCTGAAACCGTTTTTAAATAGCTTTTTTGAGATATAATTCACATGCTGTGCAGTTCACTCATTTAAAGTGTGCAATTTGATGGCTTTCAGTTAATTCATAGAGTTGTGCATCCATCACCACAATCCATTTCAGAGCATTTCTATCACCCCCGAAAGAAACCCCCGTTAGCAGCCACTCCCCATCCCCCTGGCAGCCACTAACCGACTTCTTTCCCTGTGGATTTGCCTGTTGTGGATGTTTCACATGAGTTGGAATCACACAGTGTGTTGTGTTGCCTTTTATGTCTGGCTTCGCTCACTGAGCATCGTGTTCTCAAGGTGCATCCTTGTTGTAGCGAGTGTCAGTGCTTCATCCCTTTTCAAGGCTGATTAATATTCCAGTATGTGGATGGACCACATTTTGTTTATCCATTCATTAGTTGATGGACACTTTGGTGGTTTCCACTTCGGGGCTGTTATGGAATCATGCTGCTAAGAACACTGGTCTATGAGTTTTCGTGTTAACGCATGTTTACCGGTCTCTTGGTTAGACACCTCGGAGTGGAATCTCTGGGTCATACGGTCGCTCTGTGTTTAAGCTTTTAAGGAACCACTACACTGTTCTCCAACGAGGCTGCACCATTTTACATTCCCACCAGCCCAGTGTGAGAATCCCTGTTTCTGCACACCTTCACCAACACTCGTCCTTGTCTTTTAGATAATAGCCGTCCTAATGAGGGTGAGGTGGTTGTGATGGTAGCTGTGCTGAACACCTACTTGTGTGCTTACTGGCCAAGTGTGTATCTTTGGGGAAGTGTCTGTTGCCATTCTTTGCCCACTTCTCTCAGAAACCCTTGACAGTGGGGCACGAGCCCCCAGAGCCCCCATGTCACAGCCTCACGTTAGAGGCACAGTGGGACCATTGTGTATCTGCCTTTCGTTTTGGCAAAGGGGTGGCCGTGACTGGGCGGAGCACAGCCAGAGGCTGGAGGAGCATCAGGAGCGCGCCTGGCCGGGCACAGTGGATGCGGGCACGGCGGGCCGGGAGCACTTGCGGTGGCAAGGTATGGGTTCACCCCTGCCTGCGGGTCGGGAGGGCCTCCAGGGGAGGGACAGCCACAGTCCCAGCATGCTCCAGAGGGCCAGCTTTTCCAGGGCTTCCAAGTGCAGACTCTTTCTTCTCTTCCAGGTGGTGAGAGGGGCCTGTCTGGGCCCTCGGGGCCAGGGCATGTGGCAAGTCGGGGTGGAATATCGGGGTAAGAAGTACTGTCCGCGGATAAAATTGATTTGTTCCCACTTCTCACTTCCTCTCCCTTTCTGCATGCTTGATCCACTTTCGGGGTCGAATGCTTTGAGAACAAACCCCCAAAGCAGCTCTTGGCAACTTATGCAGCTAACGCTCTTCCCCGGAATGCGACCCGTGGTTATGATTTTCCTCACCTGGAAAAAGCCAAGGGGCTCTAAAGGCCACAGAGCCCTATGCTGCAACGTGACACAGTGAGAACACAGGTGCTTCCAGGGCCAAACGTGTGCCTTTGTTCCTAGGCGAGGCGGCTTTGTACACGGCGGGCATGCCCAGGCTCACGTGGTGCCCTCTGGAGGCCTCGAGGGTGGAGGAGTGGCCGGCCAGGACCGGGGCAGCAGAGGTCCACACCCCGCCCCCCACCCATACCCCCACTTCACCCGCCGCTACTAGAGCCCACCCACCCCGCGTGTCCTGGTAGGCAGGCAGACGTACTGTCAAGTCTGTTAGCCAGAGTTACCTTGAACTTGTGGAATCTTTTAAGAAACAGAAGCAAATCCTGCCACCGTGTTGTAGCTTAATACAATGTGAATCCACTTATTTTTTCTTTTTTTTAAAATAAATGTGTTCTTGTTCTGCCATTTGTAAGACAGGGTTTCTGTTAACGAGGCATTCCATTTTCCGTTAATAAAAGTTTATGGTTCGCAGCTGTGTGTGTGTCTCAGTGATGACAGAGCAGAGAGCAGTGTCAGCCCTCGGCGGCACCGCTTTTGTTTGGGTAGCAGAGGCCGGCTCGTGTTCCTGAATTCTCACAGCTCTCAATGAAGTGGGGCTGTGCACCTCCCCATCTTACAGGTGAGGAAATAGCTGCGGGGTCAGATCATTTGTCCGAGAGCTTGTAGGTGGCAGAGCTGGGATGGGAATTAGGAATTCTTCCCTGAGGGGAGGTGTGTGTGCGCATCGGGGGGCCCTGGGACCAGCACTTCACCTCTTCTGCTGGGGTGCTTGGGGGTGTCCATCCAGTGGTGGTGTGCGTTTTGGGGGCCTGGCTGAGGGCTGGGGATGGGGCAGACCCTGCCTGGTGTGAGCCCAGCTATATCCCATCCGCCCGTTTTTCTGGAAATGCAAATTCATAGGTGAAATCTCATTTGTGATTATGAGCAGCAGCAATCTTCTTCATTAAAGACCCCTGTGTGGCCAGAGGGGCCATCTCTGTTCCTCTGGAAGGATCGTGGCTGCCCACGCAGAGCTGATGTCGGGACACGGAATGGGTGACTGCAGGCTTGTTGGGGCAGAAGCCATGAATGAGGTGGCCTGGTGGCCACAAGACTGATCTGGGACCTGCGCAGGGCCTGGGGTCAAGAGGGACACTGGTTTCCCGCGAATCTCAGCCCTGGACCGGCGTGGTCTGGATTGGCGTGTGAAGAGTTAACCCATGTGCCGCCTGCTGGCAACCTGATTCCCTCCCTCCCCTCCGTAACTAGGACAGCCACCCCACAGGCCCCGGAACAATTGCCAATTCTCCTGGAGTTCCCTGTGTTCCTGCTGGGGTGTTTAGTTTGAAAAGAGCAATCTGAAAACCCTGCCCAGCTTGCCGAGGAAGCCGGCCCTCGAGTCCTGTCTGCTTGAATTGCCCAAATAAACACCTCATGCGCTTCCTTCACCGCAGGGCCTTTTAGAGTCATTTTCCAATGACAGGTTGACAGGACGACGTCTCCATGGTGCAGTCGGGGCCAGTGTGGCATGTTTTCTCCTGCATGGAGAGCTTCATCTTCCCACCCCGCAAGCTAGTCTAGAAATTGGGGTCCGGGTGTCCCAAGTTGGCCAAGAGAAGCCAGATTCGACTTGGGGTTGAGGGTGAGACCGGTTGTCAGATCTTGTCACAAGATAGGAGCAAGTCCTGAAGTGCAGAGCCAGGGCTTGACCAGGGCACTGCCGCCCAGCTGGCTCGAGGGGACCCCGGGAAGTGTGGAGGGTGTGGGCCAGTCCCCCCGGACAGCCTGTGGGGAGAGACAAGTCCTTTCCTCATTAGCTGGGCCTAACACCAGTCTCTGTTTTACATGGATACATAGGACAACATTGATTGGCCACGGCTGCCGTACTCGGCACGACAGACTGGGTGATATAAACAAGGGAAATTTATCCTCTCCCAGTTCCAGAGGCAGGAGTGCTTGATCAGGTGTCAGCAGGGCTAGTTCCTTCTGAGGCTGGGGGGCGGGGGTGGGGGCGGAGGGTAGGGAGGGGGATCTGTTCTAGGTCCTCTCCCAAACTCTGGTGGCAGCTGGCAGCCTTTGGCATCCCTTGACTTGTACATCCATCACCCCGTCTCTACCTCCTTCACCCAGCCTTCTCCCTGTGTGTGTGTCTGCGTCTGAATTTCAGACTGGATTTAGGGCCCACCCTACTGACCTCATTTGAACTTGATTACCTCTGTACCGGCCTTGTCTTCAAATACAGTCACATCCCAAGGTCCTGGGGGCCAGGACCTCAACATGTGAATTTGGAGGGGGACACAGTTTACAGTTTTCATACATACAGATTTTTCAGGAGTGCAACTTCTGGATAAATTGAGGGAAAACGGCTTGTCATTTAGTCCAGAACCTTACCAAGAGTTGTTCACCGTTTCTGTGAACAGACCTGCGGGGTCTAAACACCTCCCCTGCTGCTTCTGTCTGAGATTAAACGTCTGAATAGACCCATGCGTCTGAGCACTTCATCTTGTACATGATATAACCGGGGCTTGTGCCCCAGCGTTGACAGGCTAAATTAGACAGCACTTATCAGACATTATTTTCTTTTTATTTCTTCTGCTTGTATCTGATAGAGCGTCATATGGTTGGGTTGCTGGTTGTTTTGTTTTTTTTTAACTGTCATTAGGTTATATTCAGATTTTTATTTCAGGAGAGAAAAGGGAGGTGGAAGGAAAGATTTGTTATAAAAAGTATCTGCTAATGGACACTTGGGTGGTTTCCACCTTTTGGCTCCTACGAATCATGCTGCTATAAAGACAAGTTTGCCTGTAGGTCTTTGCACAGCTCTTTTCTATCCTCCTGGGTGTATACCTGGGAGTGAAA